TGATAGCTATCTACCAGTGGGCTAGCTACTTTGATAAGTAAATTAACCTGAATCAAAATACCAAGTATCATGGTAACATGGTTTTGAACATCTGCAACACAAGCAGTATCCCCCACGTATTCCAACATCATCATCGGCTTTTTTTTAATTTGGAGATCTCTTGTCTTTCTTCTTTCTTTTGGGCCAATATCAGGGAATAGATTTACAACCTCTATCTCTGGTGTAAGATAAGGTGTGCTACTATAGTGTTTCAATATTCTAATATCAAATATCTCTATAATAACAGAAACTCACACATCACTGCGTTCGCCATCACCATCAATTGAACACGAAATGTCATCGAAGCGAGACAATTTATCGCAATGTTCGATATCCATTAACGAGTCTGCATTGAGTACTAAATTGTACCTTCGGATGTAAGGCGCAAGCTACGCCTATACATTGTCGTTTTGGTTCAAGTGTGAGCGTGTTTTATACGATGGTTGCGCTTCATTGAAGCGCGGCGGTAACTAAATGCCGTGTCCGCTATATGTCAGAATGTGTATGAGATCGTTTTTATAAGTATTTACAATGTATTTATGTATGTATGAACATAATACCTAGGTACCTTACTAGTTATCTACGAAAGGGATAAACACCATTGAGATACTGGGTCGAACTCTTTGAATAGACAGAGGTTCTACGTCAGATTTACTTGAACACTCGCTGACAGAAGTTCACAAAATCCTGTTGTACCGATGTGAGATTTTCTATGATAATCTGATTTAAAAATATGTACTTTCATTTAAATAATAAGAAAAACGTATTCGAAAGTCCATAGTAATCTTGTAACTGCTTCGTGCTTATCAGGCCATGGAAAGGAAAACGGAAACTAAAGCATGACAAAATAGTAAATTGATAATAAATAGTGTTGCACCCAAGTCCAGTGGAACATGTTTAAAATTGTTAGGTTGCCCAACCCTAATGAGTAAGTATCAGAATGACCCGTATACCCTAATCGATTCCGACAACTTTCACAAAAAATCTAAGCTTATGTTGAATATCCCTGTGATTTCGTAATTCAGTGCAAAAATACTAAACACTAGAATTTGAGGCATTAACTTTGGCTTAAAATCATTAAAGTTAATAAAATAATATCTCAAGTTATAGTTTGTCTATTGTGGGGATGACCATAAAGTTCTACATAATAATAATAATAATATATTATTATATCATAAATTAGACGCTTAACAAACGCCAAGTGATTAGTTATTTACATACATTTTTATACTGTAGGTAGGTAGCTCATAATATCATAATCATAAAGACGCACACCAAATTCGTTAAATTATTATCAAGTATTCTTCAACTTTAAAGCATTGAATATTCAAATAACAATTCCAATTAACATAAATTAATAATTCATTATTGTAACTGTTGGAGATCCTTAGAGAATTATTGCTTATCTGTGCCATTCTATTCTTTATGCAGAGGCGACAATGACATTCAGCCAAGTCCGGTGATGAAACGAATCCGCATTCTGCACATAAATTAATATATTTTTTAAATTAATGATTATTAACATATTTGCATTTACAGAAAAATATCTAAATGGGAATAAATTAACAAATATGAATACTTAAATAAATTCAGTACAAAGAAAAGTATTGATTCGTACTAAATCTTCGTACAATTTGTACAGACCAATGACGTACCTATACGCAAAGTTTCGCAAGGCATCAATCTTCATCAGACTCGACAGTGTTGCCGAATTTTTGGCATTAGCTACAAACACAGGTGTTGAACTTGGTTCAATAACCCTATTTAACCTAGTGGTGTATGTATCATTTACTACGCTAATTACAACCAAACACACACAAAATGCTAAAACGCATTTTACTAAACCTAACCTAACCAAACACTCACAAAATGCTAAAACGCATTTTACTAAACAATTAATTTAACTCGTCGAGTACCGGTTTTGTAGACACAATTATAGAACAATAGGTTGCGGTCACCGGTGACCGCTTGGTGTTTGACAGTTTAAAAACCAAAACAAAACAGATTAAAAAATGACAACCATAGATATTTCCCGCGCGCAAATGCACAACAGTGTACGGAAAAGGCATTGGGGCATTAATAGGGCGATATTCCTAATTCAAACGACAAGTGAGCTCGTGCGGGGTCACTGAACCGGCTGTAAGTAGGTCAAGCGACTTGACGTGACTATTTATAGCCGATGGACGGGCTAGGTTTGACAATACGGCTTGATGGCCTGCACCTCGAGGCCAAAACTGCGCCCTTCCTATGTGAATACAGAATGAGATCTTGAGTAGGTGGATACGAGTGGCACTTTGTGGATTTCTCTTAGCTTTGATTACCTTACCTGCTTGTGTTAGACAAACTTTGAGGTGTAACTTTGATTATCTATGTAACGCCAAGCTTACGAAACGCGTGGACTCAATGATTAGACACTTAGAAATTGTGAAATATTTATAGCAAGAAAGTATTAAGTCTATCTTTCGACTTGACATTCCCTTACAAGTTACGCTTGATTAAAATTTTATAAGTATCGATTTGATTGTGGAAATATAAACAGACGCTCACACATTGCGATAGTACATAAATTCTACTAATAAAGTCTGTCAGGCGTCTGTCTGTCTGGCCAACCGTCTGACCATTTCACTGGACATGGAATTTGATTGGATTTTTATCACCTCACAAATACTTTATGGTCTATGGTATGATCGATCGTATTTTAATTAGCTATAGAACCTTCTTTGTGTTCTTGAAAGAGTTTTTAATTCTAAAGAGGTCGAATACAGATATATCAATAGATAACCGTTAGAGTGCTTTTAATATCAATAGGTACTACCTACATAACTAGGTATTTACATAAGTATATAGAGGTATTCGTCCCTTCTATTCATTCTATTTATTCCCTCAGAATATTGGAAAGATCCCTCGTCTCTTATTATTGTACCCTCCACTTGGAGTAGGGTTGAAAACATTAGGTAACTTTCGTATTTTCTACAAAAACACATTTCGAAGGTAAAAACCATTTTACTTATTGTAAATACTTTACTAAATATAAGATTAATGATCATATATGTGCTTTTAGATTTGATAAATGGTACGTATTAGTATTGTCGTGGTGGCCCGGAGGTATAAGACGCCCACTTTTCATGCATGAGGGTGCGGGTTCGAAACCTACCAACGGCAAGTATCAATGTGACTTTTTCCGAGTTATATGTACGTTCTAAAATTATTCAGACCCCACTGACAAACGGTGAAAGAAAAAATCGTGAGGAAACCTGGGCTTATAATTTCTAATTATAAGTTTGAAATCACCAACCCGCATTTAGCAAGCGTGGTGATTAATGCTCAAACAATTTCTGTGTGAAAGAGGCTTTGCCCAGCAGTGGGCATTTATAGGCTGTTGATGATGTATGATATGATATATACCTCTGTATTGTAAGTAAATATTATATATATATTTTTTAATAGTCGATTTTATCGATAGACGGTATTGTATTTTTATTGATAGTCTTCTTCGTCAGGTATAATTAGTACCTAAGCTATCTCACATCTTGTTATTTTAGTAGCACTTATTACAAGTAGTCTGGATTTTTTACACAAAAAACTCGTGAATTTCACCTATTTATATTAAGTACGTACTTGTTTCTATCTTTTATACCTACTCGTAAGAGTTGAAATCAGGTGTAAGAGTATCAAAAATAGATTTGAAGGGCTCAAAATCTTTCAAGTGCCAATTTTAATACAAAAGTAAACAACATTTATATTTTCTGAATAAATTACAATGCTTTTATGAAGGCTACGTCTGAGAATAATTTGGGACTAAAACCTGGACCTTCTATTTGCCATCAAAAAAGTACTTAAAAAGTGAGTGTTCAATTTCTGACGGTAAAACATTTAGGACAACCTAATTACCATTGGAATCTCGAAAAGATTTCCACTCAAGTGTCAACGAATAACTTAATTTGCCTTCCATTTTCTGTCATGTCCTCATAATTGTCTCAAAAAGTCGGTGTTCGCAACAAAAAAGTGTATTAATGACCCATTGTTGTCCGTAAACGCATAAATGTGACAATTAGGCGGCGGACGGCCGGCTATCTTTCGCATTTCCGTTTCCTTCATTATGACAGGTGGACTGGAACTTGTGTATATGGTCATGCATGTTTCCGCTGTTAAGGAATATGTGCCAAGAACCTCATATCGGTCATAATAAGAGTACCCTCTTGTTCGCACGTGCGATAAAGAGATTGGCAGTGATTTGTCCAGTCAGCAGTTTCGTAGGACTATTACTTTTTAAAAAAAATTTATGGGATAAGCCTGTAAAAGAGTACATGGATCACTTAATCGTAATCAATTGGCGTCGTCCATGAACACCTGAAACACCAGAGGCGTTACAAGTGCGTTACTGGGATTAGGAATTTAAGGATTGTTGGGGCGTCAGGGATTGGGAAAGGGGGGAGGGGTAATTGGGCCTCCGGTAACCTCACTGACACGATGAAACACTTTGTAAGGCCGTGGTATCACTCCGGTCGAGCCGTCCTATTCGTGCCGAAGCATGACTCTCCCACACTTAAAGACTGACAGAGATATTGGATGTAAATTGATGTTCTGCTAGGCTATTCTATAAAATGTCAATTTCAACTCTCGAAGTGAGCTCCATCGCGGTCCACCGTGTCATTGTTTGTGATAATCTCGACCAATAATGAGTGAGAATGCGATCGAGCTCAATTCGAGCATCTTATAGAATATAGCAAAACATGAATTTGGATTTGATGTATTCGTAATTTCTCCCCTAGCAGAATAAGTTTTTTATGGGCAAGCGTGCTTATCGTAGGTCGCATCAGTACACAATACCAGGCGTAATAACTGGCTAAACACTGACCATTTCCAATAACAAAAATGATCAGAAACTTTAACTGTTATTTAAAAATATATCGCGTCTTTAATTCCATGTATATAAAAAAGTATGTTTGTCTTGTCCCCAGGTCCCCCGCGACAGCTTCAAGCACATAGTGAAAGCATGCGAGTGCCCTCTGTACTGGAAGATGCCGCTGTTCCTCGCCACACAACAGAACCTCCACGTGCCTGTCGACGGACACAAGTTCATCGATTTCTGGAGAGAGTAAGTTTTTTATACATATTTATATTGTAACTATCTGATCTTCAACAACATTGCCAAGTCAAGTGTGGAGATAACTGTACTTAAACCCTTTATATATAAGGTCCATAAGTTAAGATTTTATTTTTTCTATTTTATATTATAGATACATATCGTAGGAAAGTGAAAATTGTATATTAATTATTTTTTTAAAAGAATCCTTGGGGCGTGATCTACAGTCGATACCGATAATAAAAATATGGTTTTTAGATTTTTTGTCTGTTTGTCTGTATACATATACCTATGTCCGGAATGAACTCAAAAAGTGCTGCATGGATTTTTTTACGGCATAAGCCGATAAACGAGCAGACGGATCACCTGATGGTAAGCAATCAGCGTCGCCCATGGACACCTGGAACACCAGAGGCGTTACAAGTGTGTTACCGGCCTTTTGGGGATTAGGAGTTTGAGGATCGTTGGGGATTCAGGAATTGGGGAGATTGGGGAAGGGGATGGTAATTGGGCCTCCGGATGGATTTACTTACAAATTTTCATGAATATAACTAAGAGGTCGGGTCATATTATCACGCTATCAATTACGAGGGAGGAGCTGTGAATCACTATTCCATGGGGACGAAGTCGCGGGCTCAGCTAGTACCCAATAAAGCAGAATTTGATTTAATATCATAAATTTCACGTATGACTATTATGCATTAAATATACAGTAGCATACAATATGTTTTTGAAACTTCGTGATTATTATTTTATAACGAAGATAATGACTTACGCCCGAATACTGAAAGGCTACTCAAATTGTTCTTAAATATCGTGCTGTCTCTGTCATTCAACAAAGAATTTATAGAGACAGAACTATACTTAAGTGCGACTCAAAATTGAATAACGTTTCAGTATTCGAGCATTAAACGGATAATAAATAAGGTCTACAAGAAATTGAACCCTATAGACTAAGTTTGCGGTATATTCGTCAGCAAATTTGTTAAATTCGAAGACCATTAAACTGAAATTAAGCTAAGAATCAGCACTTTTGAAACGTCATCATTTGAGAAAGACAACCACAAAACTCCTGCTTACTCGTCAGATATTCTGATTAATATTATAAGTTGATCTATTATTTAGATCAACTTAACTTAGGTAGGTACAATCATTAACTATAATAAATCTATCTATACTAAACTAAGTACTTATAATTTCAATTAATTACAGTTAGACTGGCGGGCAAGGGGTCTCAGGTTCGATTCCCGGGTCGGGCAAAGAATTACTGGGTTTTTTTTAAAATCTCAGTAGCAGCACGGAGCCTGGAATTGTGCCCGGTATATGGCAATAGGCTCACCCCCTATAACATGGGACTCATAACATGAATAGCGAAAAGTGGGTGTTACTTTGTACAGTGGCATAATGTACACCTCTGCCTACCCCTTCGGGGATAAAAGGCGTGATGTAATGTTAAATTACAGTTAGTTACTCTTCCAAAACCTTGGAAAGGGCTGGATTGACTTTTGATTTTGAAATATTTATGAAAACTCAGTAACTAAGGCAAGGACGTTGAAAAAATGGCGGACGTAATGTCACAATTAGAAATGATTGAAGCACCAAAATGTCAGTGGTGTATTTATGTGTGCGTGTAATTCCAACACTGTAATATATGAAGTGTAATGACGGGCCAAGTCACGCGAGAGATGTCCTTCGTCGCAATGTGTGTGTATTCTGCGTGTAAGTCTGTAGTAGCCAGGTCCCACAGACGATGTTTCAAGAGACTATGTCCGCCTTTTTTTCGCGGCCTAACGGTTTATGAGTGAATTGAAAAGAAATTACCTATAATATAATACTCAGTTTTTTTTTCTCGTATAAACTGCTTTCTAAGTACTTATATAGAACAAATATATCATTATTGAACTACCATCAGTGCAAAATAAAAACAAATGACACGCCAATGACGTCAGACCGAAAATGACAAGAGCAGAAATATATCATGTACTCTTTCTTAATCCAAATTATTGCCGCCTTTAGAACAACACAAAAAAAAACAAATGACATGTCAGTGACGTCAGACCGAAAATGACAAGAGCAGAAATATATCGTGTACTCTTTCTTACTCCAAATTATTGCCGCCTTTAGAACAACGCAAAAAAAACAAATGGCATGTCAATGACGTCAGATCCAAAATGACAAGAGCAGAAATATATCATATTCTCTTTCTAAATCTAATTATGAGCCGCCTTTGATTTAACTCGTCGAGTACCGGTTTTGTAGACACAATTATAGAACAATAGGTTGCGGTCACCGGTGACCGCTTGGTGTTTGACAGTTTAATACAATTTACCTATGTCGTGTTTCGTGTTTGTGCACACACAATAGATAAACGCTTTTCACTTATACAAACACCTTTGAGAAAATGACCGGGAGTAGCCATTCAATATACTTTATTGTGAAAATTGAAATATTAGTGCGGATAAAACTCCCGAATTTATCAACAAAATTTGATAGTTCCTTTTATGATGCATTATTTATTTTTAATAAGACAAGATTAGTGTGTGTCAAAGGTAACTTCAACACATTTCAACATTGGAAAATGATAATACCTCAAAGTGAAACTTGGGCAGCTTCTAATCAATACTTACACCGAAGTTTGAAAAGGCTGTGTTTACAAAACCCTTTCACCTTGACTAGAGAAGCCAATAAACACTCGAAGATCACAAAGCTGAGACGGACTTTAAGATTAAGTTCGTAAATGCAATCATAGGAAGTTTTGAAGTTATTCAATAACTAAAACAGAGCGACAGATGATTATTAAAACAAGTACCGACCAACCTTTTAAACCAAGAAGTTTTTACCGTAAGTTATGTCCACAGAATCACATAAAATCACATAAATTTCCAAACTCGCTAACTACATAAAAAAACAACACGAAAATATGGCACGTAATTGTAATCTGAAACATTTTGAAAGAACGATAACAGTCAAGGTTAAATATTATGTAAGTTATATAACTTATATAAGTTCAGTAATAATAATATCGTAAAGAAAATTAATAAAATCCCACGAATTCCTCAGGTTAAAAAACTTTACGGCATCTAACGAGGCCGGACTGCCGTTATTGTTACTCCTACTTGTATTAATTACGTCTCCCTTGCCAAAATTCAGGAAAGAAAGCTTATAAAAATTTAAGTTTTCCCCTGAAATTACGTAATTGCTTAGCGTACTAAGTGAGGAAACATACAAAGAAGTTTTCATAAGAAAATTATAAAAACAAAAGTTTTATTGTTGTAAGTGAAATAGACTTACGAAAATGATTATTTGATATTATGTTTGTAAAATAAAAACTATTCAATAATGCTAAGGGATAGTTAGAAGGAAACAGTAGCTGGTAAATAACGCAACAAGTTTAATTTAAAAGGTACTTAAGACAGCATATCTGACAAAATTAATCATAATTTTTCGGAACTGCTGAAAAAAGTAGAACAAAAAAGCACTTGTAGGCAAGGGTAAACATGTTCATGTTTATGCTCAAGTTGACAGTGACAATTGAGTGAGTTGACAGTTTGCAGGAGTAGTTATGTTCGTCGCACGGCTTCGCTCGCGATAACTGGCGTCATTTTGTATGCCCTAAATGCTCAGTGGCATACAATTCCAAGCGAGCAGTGTTGATCGATGTACCCATCTGGAATAGATAAAAGTTTGTTAGAGACAGTTTTCGTAAATAACAGCTTTTAATTAACGAATAGTCTCCATTTCTGATACGACCCAGTTGTTTTCTATTGATAGAAAGAGACTTTTATTGAAATATCTGAACAACGAAACTAAATTGGATTTATTTGACTTTGAACAAGAAGTCGATTATTTTAGAGTACACTTGATTGATGGATTGACTTTGATCGTTGGAGTATAAAGAGAAATGTTTATTTTTGTTCTAGCATTTTATTCAGTATCTCTCAAATGAAAATTGATGCACATTGCTTATGCCATCTTTAAAGAAATCGTTCCTTTAACATATACTAAAACTTAATCTATATAAATAAAAATAAGTGTCCGTTCGTTAGTCTCGCTAAAACTCGAGAATAGCTGAACCGATTTTGCGAATTTTGAAATGTTCGTGGGAATCCAGGGAAGGTTTAATAGGTGAGAATTTATAGGCGGTACAAAGTTTGCCAGGTCAGCCAGTATTGTATAATGACACCATATTCTAAATACAAAAATCTCGTTTCCAGAATGGCGTCACAGTGTCACGACATGGCGTCCCGCTTCGTATACATCCTGACACGAGGGAAGAGCAACACATTAGCGCCTGAAGACTTCGTTCCTCTAGTGCAGGATGTCGTCGACACACACCCCGGCCTCTCCTTCCTCAAGGAGGCCACCGAGTTCCACTCACGATATGTGCATACTGTAAGTTTTTTTATCTTGAATAGAAAATTGTGTTTAAGCGTAGCTATGTATTTTGTGTTGTATTTTTTTAACCCAATGGCTTTTAGTTTTATGTTATCAAAGAGGACTTTACTTCTGAGTTAGCTTTTAATTGGTTTCGTTTAGTTTTATTACAGGCCTTAATCAATTTATAGTAATTTTGTGAGTTATTTAAAAACTTGCGGTACGTAAGCTTTAGAATAAAACAAACGAAACGACTACAAAAATACTAAAACAAAAAAAAAACAAAAAACATTAAAAACAGAAAAATAAAATTTCTAATGTCTTCTTTTAACCGCCATTTTATTTGAAAAATCGTGAGAATACCCGGAAGCGACCACCATATTGAAGTGGAACGGGACATGACGCGACGGTAACTCAGTCCTTTGGGAAATTTTCCGCTGCACACTAAAAGATAGGCGCATTACGGGAATTCGGACAAAATATTTCGTTTTTTATATCGACACTCGCTTTCATTTGAAGGATAGGTTCCTATTTGTTTTACCCATGAAGTACCTATGGGAATAAGGAGTTGCTTTCTAGTATCTATTAAGGAAACTAAAAACGGTATCAAATATTATACATATAGCATTTACCTTTAACTAGGTGATGCTGCTGTAGCAAAATCACTATTCTATTTAAAATTTCACTACGTAACGACATGTTTGAAACAAAAGACAAATACACATACGAAACTATGCCCTAAAGTTAGTTAGTAAAAGTTGAAATTGCGATGTACATTTTATTATACTGATAGGTCCTTATTTGATAGGTACTCTTAACTTTAAAAAACTATGTTATACAACTACACTTTGGGGGGATCGTCCAATGACTTCTCCCGTCTTGAGTGAAGCGAGAGAGAGTGTCAGACTCTTACTGGCTAAAAACCACTTCGTTTCTATTCTACTCCTGCCTTAGAACCGGTTAAGTTATCCGCAGCTCGTGAATGTTTATGGAGAAAAGTTATTAAGCAGGTAGACGTAAATATATTACCTAATCGACATCGACAGTTTTTTTTTAAAAAAACATAGAAACAATAAATACTCAATAAATAATTATGTTTTCGGCTTACCCACGCAATTATTTGACGAGGAACTTGACTAGTTTCCAGCCATGCTAGAGGCTCGTATTCATGAGCTCTCGCACTCGCACTCGGCGGCGGACTCGACGTGAGTAAGCCGAAAACATAATAATTTGTTTTAGTACTAGCTTTTACCCGCGGCTACGCTCGCGTCACAAAAGAATAAAAGTAGCTTAAGTGACATATACCAATACACACAGCGCCATCTATACCAATTCTTTTGTTTTCCCTCGGGAATATCAAAATTTTCCGGGATAAAAAGTACCCTATTATTTATTCCGGACTTCTAACTTTACGCCTGCAAAAATTCAAAGCAATCGGTTTAGAAGTTACGGCGTGAAAGCGGAACAAACAAACAAACAAACTCACTTTCCCATTTTTAATAGTAAGGATTATAATAGTAAGGATAAGGAAGGATGTCTCGTAAAAGTTATAATACAATAAATACCTCCTTATTATCTCAATACTCCATGGTTTTGCCCAATTTTGTCAGTGTAGTTACTGGCCAATTTACAATCGATTACTTTCACTAGTTTTTGTGACTGTTATTGTTGCGTAAGAACAAAGCCATTAGAGGCACGCGATTGACAAAGTGCCTTTCTTGTTTTAACAATTCAAATTGTTTAATTAAGTGCCCTTTGGCCTACCGCGAAAATTGTTCTCGTTTCTAGTAAATGTCGTTGAATAGGGCTCAGTATACTTTATGGACGTTATTTTGTATTTCATGACTTATTTAAGTCTATTGGCGAAGGAAAACTACCAATTTGCTGATCATATAATATCATGAGACAAATATTTGTCAAATTAAGTACCTACTACATGACGTTCCATCTAATCAACATCAAAATTGATGCATCAAAATCATATTGGTACTCTATACCTATCTTAGCAGTCGCGGAGAACCTAAAGGGTTACCGGGGCTCCGGCTCGACTTGCAGGAGAAGGAACGGAGTGGTTTTTAGTCAGTAAGAGTCTGGCACTGCGTCCCGCCTCACCCAGGCGGGAGAAGTCATTCGATGATTTCCCCCCTGTCTTTTCAACTAAAATTCACGTTCTTATATAGAGATGGTAGACCTTTACGTATCAACGTGTCATTTTAGAAATATTGTATAAATAAATATTTTTTGAAGTCACACATGTGCTATCAACATAATAATTAATTATATATGGTAATTCATTGAGTAGAATTCATGCTGAACTGGAGTCATTTGTGTAACTGAATCATCAATGGTATTCATATCTGAAAATAAATAACGACATAGGACAGATTTTGTGATCAATGATGTACCGAAAATATTGTGTTGGGTGCCATCAATGGGACGGGTGCTAATGGTTCACCGTCTCTATAAGACCATTGTTAAAAGCTTTAATTAAAATACTAAGATATATCTTGGTTATATATAAAATCTCTCTTATTTCAGGTGATCGCTAGGATATTTTACTGCGTGAATCGAACTTGGTCCGGCAGAATATCGATCCCCGAGCTGAGAAGATCGAATCTACTTCAAGTGATACAATTGTTAGAGGACGAAGAAGATATTAATCAAGTCACACAATATTTTAGGTAAGAAAACATTACTCTTCTATGTTTTCGTGGCCGTTTTCCATTGACTTGAAAGTTTTTAAACTTTCTTTGGACTAAGAAAAATACTTATAAATAATAATTAATAAATAATTAAAATATAGTCAAAGTCAAAATCATTTATTTCAATTAGACCAGAAAGGCACTTTTGAATGTCAACAATAAAATTAAAAGTGAAGCTATTTGCTTATCTTTTCTCTTACCTTGAATTACTTCACTGAAATTATACCTACTTATAATAAATCAGTGTTATTCCTTTGACAAGTTATTATCGTTTTTAATAAGTTATTGTTTAGGTACCTTTGTGCTAAGTTTGCTCCTAGGTACCTATATAAAGTTTACTCTGGCAACTATATCGCATGACGAAAGTTACACACAATTGGTGTTCATACATACTACCTCTATAGTAGGTACCTTTCAGTAGCAAATTTCAGTAATATAAAACTAAAATAAGTATTGTAATAAATGTGTTTATTCATATTTCAGTTACGAGCATTTCTACGTGATCTATTGTAAATTCTGGGAGCTAGACAGAGACCACGACTTATTCATAGACAAGCACGATCTCGCGAGGCATAATGACCATGGTAAGAGTAATTTTATTTATACTTATCTGCTTAGACGTATCCTCTATAGTTCTATACTCTCTCTTCATCTCTCATACACTCATGCGCTGCAAAACTCTGATCTCCAATCTGTCTACCAAGCATAGTTTGAATGTGGGTTGTTGATGATAAGGGAACTTAAACTATGTTTTACGTAACTCACAGAAAACCAACGTGATGGTTGACGTGAGGTTACCGACCCCAATTACCTTACCTTCCCCAATCTCCCCAATCCATGAATCGCTAATAATCGTCGAATTCCTCATCCCCAAAAGGCCGGTAACGCACTTGTAACTTTGGTCTTGGTACTTGGTGTTCCAGGTGTCCATGGGCGACACCGATTGCTTAACATCAGGTGATCCATCAGCTAGTTTACCGGCTTATACCATAAAAAAATACAATGTTTTATATAGTCACGAAACTACGTTATTGAAAGAACGAAATAACTGTACAAATTCATCCCCTAGTATCAATACAAACATCTGTAAAGTTATACCAATTCGCTGTTTCCGCGGTAACTTATCGACTTTTTTTTTTCAAAGTAACAAACTTCACGTCATGTTACATTAAAAGTTTTATTTGTTTGCCAAACTTTTGACAGAGTTATGGCTGCCTTTTTTATTAGATTCTAACAAAATAATAATACGTCCGGATGCAAATTGAGGGTCTATGATTTATGATTTGAAATCCGTAAGTTTTGCAACGCTTATTGTTTTCAATATATATATATTTTTTTTAAATATAACGTTGCCCCACACTAGGATTTTCTCCTGTGTCGTGGATGCATTTACAAACATACAAGTTCACATACACATGACACCCAGACCCGGAACAACAATTTGTGGATCACACAAAGTGTTGTTCCGTGCGGGAATCAAACCCGCGACACGTAGCACGGCAGCCGGTTGCCCCGCCAAAAAAGTCAGTGCAGTCAAAAGCGTTAAGCCAATAAAGTTTTTATGGCATTGTTAATAATTCCACTGTCCCAGCTTAGTACCCTAAGCTACAATTCCAGATTCGATGGTAGGTATCCCCGAGAATTTTGGATTCCAAAATTACCACGCCATCGACAATCTAATTTCACCGCTTGAACAATGAAAGCGTATCTCCTCCTTTTGTCTTAAATGAAGACGGTTGTGGGTTGATCAAACAAAATTTTATGCTTTACAAGTAAATCTCGTGATTTTTTTTTATGAATGAACTCTGTTTTAGTAACGATTATCACTTTAGGATTTTCTCTGGGTCTCCGGGGGCGGGTTTATCGATTATATATTATAATCGAACGACTTCTTCCGCCTGGGTGAGGCGCAAGAAATCTACTCCTACACTTCGAGCCGGCCACTTTAACCGTCTGTGGCTGACGTGTAGTCCCACAGACACCGCGAAATACAAAATCACGTGTTATACCATCATTTTTCAAATCCGAGCATCACTGCTGCGAGTACCTTACTGTATAGTGCTCGCTATACTTTAGTTCTACAAAAATATTTGCTGTTGAAATGGTGTCTGGTATACTATACACCTCAGTTGAATTGTAACAATTTAACCACGTCAGTTGCAGAGGGTTAATAACTAATGTTCCATTTTCCAGCGCTATCAAGCCGTATGATCGAGCGGGTGCTATCAGGGTGCGTGACGCGCGGCAACCAAAACCGCCTAACTCCGGACGGGGAGCCTCGCATGTCATACACGGAGTTCGTCTGGTTCCTCCTGGCTGAGGAAGACAAGACACATCCTACGGCGATCGAGTATTGGTTCAGGTAAGTTATATGCGGCATGAGGGCAATATGAGTTTTACCAGAAGTTCTTAGAGAAAATTAGGAAAACGGATGGCACTCGTGTAGAGCAGGATGAACCTTCTATTTATGTATACTGCATGACACAGATATTGTTTCATGTTTGCTAGCTTTTTTATCCTTTTATATAGTCTCTTTAATTTTAAGAAAAGAGCAGTTAAATTTATGCTGAAAATAAGGTTTATCGAGACCATTATCTGTGCCTACGATTAAATTAAAAAGTTGCATCAATAGACAAAAATGTCTTTTTCTTATTTCCAGATGTATGGACGTGGACGGCGACGGCTACATCTCGATGTACGAGCTAGAATACTTCTACGAGGAGCAGATGCAGAGGATGGAAGCCATCGGCATCGAAACCCTGCCCTTCAACGACTGCTTGTGTCAGGTGAGCTTCAAAGCTTTTTAATCGTTTAAAATTATAGTTTCATATTTCCAATATACCTATTGAAACTTTTAAGCACCATTTTTCCAGGACGACAACCTGCAAGTTAACTGAAATCAATGACCTAAAAAATAAAAAAAAACTATAATTATTCATGTTACAAAAGATGTTTATTAAAAAGTTAGAAATACAGAATTAAAAACAAATAAATTCCTCAGATGCTTGACATGGTGCACCCTGCAGAGGAAGGCAAGGTGACCCTGTCGGACCTAAAGCGATGCAAGCTGACGCCGATATTCTTCGACACGTTCTTCAACCTTGAAAAGTATTTGGACCATGAACAACGTGATCCTTTCGCCACGCAGAGAGACTCCGATTGTGAGGTGAGCTAAATGAAAAATACTATAATTTTCATTTTAGTCGATTATTTTTTGAAACTAGCAACATTTATCGTTAAATGTTACTAACTACTACTAACCACTAAATTAATACATCTAGGTTCAAAAAGTTTTGCTTTAAAAAGTTTTGATCAAGTAATTTCTTTTTGTTATTTTTTTTTGTGTGGTTAGAACACATAGAATGGCAAAGTGTTTAAAGAGACATCCGAAATTAAATATAAATTTTCTTGTATTGTCATAATCCTTCCTATATTCTTTTGTTAATGCCATTAAATAAAAAAGGTTGATACCAATACATTATTGTGTTTGCAGATGTCAGAATGGGACAGATTTGCAGCGGAAGAGTACGAGCTGTTAGTCGCCGAGGAGGGCGGTAGTGACGCACAAGACCAAATGTAAGTCCATCACTATACCACCCGCGTCATCGCATATATTTATAAATAAATATATTATACTATTACTTATTGAAACACGTGCAATAATAATGTTTGTTTCTTACCATAAACAGGCAGTTATATAGGATAATGAAAGAATCAGAGAAAAAGAAGTGTATGAATCGATTCTTAGAGTTGTGCAGAGCTAACGGACTGAACGGATTCAAATTATACAAATAAATATATGTGACTCGGTGGTAAAGTAGACTATAGACTAGCCATGTTGCCCGACTTCGCACTAGTTCATACTAGACACAGCATTGTGGAGCATTGTGCGGCACTGATCACTGCCTAGGACCCGTACAACCCCCGTTACTTACCTCGACTCCTCACGATATACTGACTCAGTACTTGTGCGATATGTTCTGAATGCAAACGATAATATCACCTAGACAGTAATTAATTCAAGGAACCATTTCCTATTACATCATCTTAACATACATCACAAGTTATTAGACTCATGTTTAGTTCCTTTTTTTCATTTCTGTTATTATTTATTTAATATATCTATGTTATATGTATATCGTATGTATATATGTAGGCTACCCAGCCGTATATTATTTTCTTTTCGTTCATGATATATTTTAATTTCTTTCATCAGGGAGGAAGACAGATCTGGCTATGCTAGGGTAAGAGTGTGTTGGTGACTTGCAGTGTATGTATTGTGATACTTTGTCTGATTGCACTGGGCCTGGCCATGTTTACATGCTGGACGCGGGCCTCGAGCCGTGGCGCTGCCTCACAGTTCAGCTTGACGTGCGGCCGTATTCTTGTGCCCTCCATTTGCATTTTGCTCATTTACGATTTGTCGCTTACAAGAATGAATTTGCACTGAAACGTAATCATATTAAACTACCAAAGTATCGAAATGATATTCTAAACGTCCTCTCCCAGAATTCATTGCTGTTGATTTTGCTTGAAAGTCTTTGTCTGCCTTACTGATGAAATACATATTATGTTCCTGTAAATATGTAAACCCTCCCCACTCCGTACACAACTGAACATTTTGAGCTTTTGTTTGTCAATAATACCAAGACTCTGCGCATGGAGCGAAACTAACAAAGATGAACTTGTTCACTTGCATTCAGTACATATAATATGATATGATATCAAATGACTGTCTCAATGTCGCGGCGCGACGTGTCACTAACATGTCATTTAACTTTACAGCTCGTACGATGAGACGGACGAGGACTGTTTATCGCCAAACCTAGACGACATCACCAACACGGAGGTCATCGAAGACTCGAGCGTCGAGGAGTCCACGCTCAGCGAATGCGGGGCGGCGCGACACCCACGCCCTATAGCCGCGCAGGGCGCCGCGCCTGCACCCGCGCCGGCGCCCGGCGCTGGCTACGTCAACCTCAGCTCCATCTACTCCATCGGCAGCGACCGCTGGGCTAACAACACCGCCCCACCCTCTAAAAATGGTATCACCGACAAAAAGCTCCCCGAGAAGCCTGTCCCTCCTGAAAAGCCAGTCAGCCTCATGATGGTCAATGGCAAAATGGACAATCGGTACGCTGGCTTCGGTAACAACAGCTTCCTGTACTCGCAGCTCGTGGGCTCAAGTGGTGCGCGCGCTAAAGATCCACCTTCGTATACGGCAGCCACTAGTGGTGCCCTCTTCGACAAATCTGTTGAACCCAAAAAGACTGTCACGTCTCCAGTGAAACCCAAATCACCTGTTACGAGTCCCGTGAATGGTGTCAATAAAATCTCAGACAATTATGAGCGAGCGGTCGCGGAGCGTCTCAGCCCACAGAAGGAGATCTCCAGGCTGAACCGCAGCAGTCTGTTTAGTAAAGTAAATACCGGAGTGGTCTCCAGCAAAGTGAAGAAAAAATCTGCCCGCCAGGATGAGGAGGATGAGGACTACGCGCGCGATAGCGACGAATGTTCCATTTAGGAATCGCTAACCCAGTGATGTTGCCATATGCAATAATAAAACGGTTTGTTTCAGTGAACACCAAAGATTACACGATGAACGTGCAATTCGTGAGACGTTAGATTACCTACCTTACCTGATATCAAATTAGAATAGATGTGTAATATTGTCTGCCGTTAATTGAAACAGAGAAATATTTTTTCAGCGTATCCTAGTGGTTGATACGTGCCTTGTGTCAGTGTAGCGAGTTAGACGATGCCGCGTTCAGACGTTAGTCGATTAGTGTGGTTAGAAAACTAAAGTGCATTATCCTGAACTAAAGAAACTGTTCTTTAACGGAACCTTGTGTAGTATCGCATAGACTAGTGTCAGCATTTGAATAGTATAATATTTATGTATGTATTGTTTTAATTTTATGTCTCAAATTAACCATATCAAACAATGATATTTTTGTTTGCGCAGGCGTTGATGTGTTTTAATTTTGAATCTATATAATTATGTATTATTTAACTTTTAATTGTATTTGTCACATAAAATAATTACAAAATCATATCATTCCTCCATCCAGGTCGTATAATTGAATAAATAAAATAATCATAAAATTAAAAGTAACAACAAAATCACTGTCATTTGAAATTGGTCGTCCGTATAGCTTTATTTATTTATTTATCGTGAAAAAGATCAGTATAAAAACACGCACAGATTAATTTAGAGAAATGTAGTAGATAGAAATATTTTTGATAAGAGGTTGACTCCTATCCTGCATCTACCTTCTTTTTTCGAAGTATGTATTTCCTAAGATGTGGTGTGTGTTGTTCATGTCTGTTGTGTACAACGTTACGTATTGTTGTTGGCTCGAAGTCGTCACTGTTGACGCTAGTGATGTACTACATTAATTAATTTAATCGAAATGTTGGCAACACTTGTACTAGAGGCGTTACTTACTTCCCTCCTTGTGAGTCTCGTTTGGAACAATTGTTTTATTCGATCAAATTCGAAAATAAAGTTGAATTTTTTATTAATTGTAATTTAATTGTTTGAGTACGGTAGTGGGTGGTACGATGTATGGATGTTCGTAAAAAGGAGGAGTTTGTGTCGACATAATAAAGAATGTAGGGAAATAATAGAGAAGGCAGCTGTATTATAATAAGCTTTCTAGGTAATGCTAGGTAGATTACGTTATGCTCTAGTCTACAGGTGCTGTAAGAAGCCAACTGACGGTCTACCACTTCGACATAATTTGTTTACAAATACATCTTCAAATCTACAAGTTTGCCACAACCAAAGAATCGGTTGTTAGATTTTATAATCGCCTAAAGTACTGAGTTTTTATTAATCATGGATTTTATATTTCAGTTATTATTTAATGAAATGTTCGATAGGGTATTACTAAGTTATATGAGAATTTTCATAATGTAATGTTAGTTACGATTTTAAATCCAATTGTTTTCAAGTGTGTAGTTTCAAAAACTTAATATGTATGACTTTGTTGTACATGTAAAAAAATGTGCCTCATTTATAAGGTTTTATCACGAATAATATTCACATGATAACTAGCACCGGATTCACCCGTACCTACCTATGCTACAATTTCATTTAAAGTTAAGACTAGTCATTTTCATGAACTAAATCACGTCTATTTACAATCCTCAATTTAACTAATTTTACCAAGTATTAACCAAAACGATTGTTCACATTTTTAACAAATTTTATTAATATGTTGTGTACTGTTAATTAGGATAATTTTTATTGGGGTATGTTTTAAATACCTAACAGTTTGGAGCTTAGCGGTTTTTTAAAGTTGAAACACTTTAGTTTACTAGATTAGTGTAGGTCGATTATAATTAAGTTACCGGTTTTTTAAGGTAATTAATACTTTCGGTAATGACTGTCGTATTGTTCTTTTGTAGTTGTTATACTTACGAATTGAATAGTTTTGTTTATTCATAATCGGGTTAACTCTTTATCTCAATGCAAATACGAATATATGAATGTACTATGTATCTGATCAATCTCAGCCATGTATCATAATAGTGCCATTTTATAGTCAAATACTGTCAACTTTACAAATCACATGAACTTCATTAATGTATGTAACATGATTTCATTTAATATTTGCATTTGAAAAAATGTTATAAACCTATATAATTATCTAATTATCAATTATGAACGCATTTGGTACGCGTGGAAATTAGACACGTTCCTAAAAAGCCTAATAATTAATTATTATTATACACTTCTAATGAAATAAGTAGCTAAAAAATTGTAACCCTACAAATAAGTTAAGTATTTCCTTTATTTAAATATAGGTAGGTACGATATTTTGTTCTTGTATGTATGTATCTGTGCCGGTCTAAAATATTTTAGTTTTCTTTTTAAAATTTTAGACAAATGTGTTACTAGTAACATTGTATAATTAATTTTTGTTTCAAAATAAATGCACAGTTGTAGACTGTCATTAACAAATTAGTTTAATAACTTAGCGTCGCGAGATTAATCACAATGAATCATTGTTTAAAATATGTAAGATTTTTTACAAACCTTAGTGGTGACAAAGAAGTGGTGTGTTAACATTAAATAAACGATGACAGACCTATTGTTAAGTCTCCTAATAAAGTACATTACTGTATTTAATGAAGATTTTTATTTTCCTTCCCGATCCTTTTTAAAAATGAACCATGCCAAGTCAAATCAGACATAACCAATCTATGCAACTTCATAAAAAAGGGGGTACTTACAAAATTTTACACTCGTTTTAGCTAAAACTTCCATTATATCTTGATGTATAATTTATTAATTATTTATTACATTTTAAAACGGACTGGGAGTCTGTCCAATACGAGTTTACAGTTATAGATTGCGCAAGATACTTTTTTTTTTTATTGGAAGTGGATTAGATTAGAACATCACTAATCCTAAAGTATCCATCGTCATCCATTCTTCAGCAGCCTGCCGAACAAAAATCTTACGTCCATATCAAGGTCACATTCATTATCGTCGACGGTGAACCTTGGGTAACATAAGAAGACAAAGAGACATAATCTGACTATAAAACACCTCACCTGTGTACGGGACTGTTGTAAGTAAATTCTTAGTTTTAATTTTCACATACTTACGTAAGTAGGTAGTGATATTCAAGTGCAAACTTGATCAATATAATTTTATCATCTGATGTATATGTGATAAGAGAATTATGTTATAAGAGAATCCCATGGTGAAGCCCATAAAACAGAGGTGATTCTATTTTCGTAGGTATACCTTATACCATTCCAGACAAACTTTGACTATTTTTTAATTGAAAATCCGCAAATTCCCCAAATCGAGTCGATCGGATTCGATTCCCAGGTCGGGAAAATTGTTTAGTTTAAAAATTCTCAGTAGTAGGACGGAGTTTGGAATTGTGCCCAGTATATGGCAATAGGCTCACCCCTTATTACATGGGACTCATAACATAAATAGTAAAAACTGGGTGTTACATTGTACAATGGCATTAAGTGCCATAATGTGCACGTCTGCCTTCCCTTTGGGTATAAAATGCGTGATGTTATGTTATAAGAAAATTCTCAATAATATTTTGCCCGACTTGAGGATCGAATTCACACGACCATGAACTTTTGACTGGCTCGTGCTGTCAAAACTTCATTATTACTTAATTGTGTAATAATTCATTATTATTTTGAATGTGTAAATCGATAACCAACTAATTAAATCAATTGTGTTAAATGTATTTACCCTATGTATTTACCACGTCTCTAATATTAATGTCACTGTCACTTAAATGACAGATGTCATATAAACAATCCAATGTCACTGTTGGGGGTAGCTCAGTTGAACGTTCTTTTGAAAAGTAAATTAATATTAAACCGTGTACCGCTCAGAATTTTAAAAATGCCGTTTTATGCAGTGGCCAGAGGTCGAACAACAGGTATATTTATGACTTGGCCTGATTGTGAAGCTCAAGTGAAAGGGTTTCCCGGTGCCAGGTACAAGAAATTCGATTCAGTTGTGAGCGCTCAAGATTTTATTACTACAGAAGGTGGATCTAGCAATAGCAGTAAATCTAAAACGCTTAGCAACCAGTCAAAATCATTTTCAACTTCTTCAAATAACCTTAAAAAGCCAACATCTAGTAATAGCACAGTCCAAAGTAAACATGTGGCAAAAGAACTCAAAAGGAAATCAGAAGTTAGTGAAGGCTACGCGAGAGAAAATGATAGTGATTACTCAGATGATTCCGACGATTTGAACACAATAATAACGAAACAGATGGATGATATAGAGAAAAGACTGAAAACATTTGAGAAGGGTGTAGATAAAATATATAAGAAAGGGACTAAGAAAACTATCCTTATAGAGCCTCCTCAAAATAAAAGACGTAAGACTAGTGGTGGTGAGGAGTTTGATATTGACAGTGAAGGTTATGTGCAGGTGTATACAGATGGGGCGTGTTCTGCTAATGGCAGGAGTGGGGCCCGGGCTGGCCTCGGGGTGTACTGGGGCGATGGCCACCCTCTCAACGTGAGCGAGCCAGTATCTGGTCGCGCCACCAACAACTGTGGAGAAATCCAAGCATCTACTAAAGCTATCAAAATTGCTCTCCAGAATGGAATACAGAAATTAGCAATAAACACAGACTCCAAGTTTGTCATCAATTCTGTTACTAAATGGATGCCTGGTAATTAGTTTTACTATTTAAATTATAAATTATATCTTTAAACAATGTTGCTCTAGCCTATGCATAATAATAATGACATTCATCATTAGTTATCAGATAAATAATAAGTGCATTCTAAAAGATTAGATTTTGTTAATAAATTGAGGCCGTATTGAAATTTAAACATAACAAGGATTTAAAAAATCTTTATTATACCAGAAATTCAAGGCCATTTAAACTGTCAAACACTGTGAGGACAGTAGTGACCGCAACCTATTGTTCTTTAATTGTGTCTATAATGATGGTACTCAACAAGTTAATAATTCTATTTGTATCACATTCCAGGTTGGAAGCGTAAAGGCTGGAAGCTGGCATCAGGAGAACCAGTAAAGAATGAGAAAGACTTCAAAGACTTGGACAGTGTGAAACACAAGCTGCAAATCAAATGGAACTATGTGGAGGCACATCGGGGAATACATGGCAATGAAATGGCTGACGAACTGGCTAAAGCTGGTGCTGCCATGTATAATAAATGAATAGAATTAACTGAAAATAACAATATACTTATGTAAATATACTGAGAAGAGCTCTACCAGTTTCGAGTCACAAAGGGATGCTGACAGTAAATTGTGCAACGTCACCTGTACTGTACTGACGCAGGAAGACTGACTGCCGTACTCAGAAAAATTTAATGATCACTTAAAACTATTCCTTAGTAACGATTTTTTTCAAAAATAATTGCTAAGGACTGGGTTAACTCGTCGAGTACCGGTTTTGTAGACACAATTATAGAACAATAGGTAGCGGTCACCGGTGACCGCTTGGTGTCTGACAGTTTAAGTAGCCATTAACCTGTGGTATAGATAGTGGAACATAGATATACGCGAGACACAATGTGTTTTCTATTTTATTTTACATATCGGCAGTCAAGAGGTTAAATGATTCTGAGTATGACGGTATGTGTACTCATGTATGACCTTGAAATTAGTAGAGCTTTTCTCAGTACATTTACATGAGGAAACAGTTATTTTTAATTTTTAATTATTCCAATATATCTCACAATACTTATTATAAAAATGTGAATAGAATTATTTAGCTAGGATTTGTTGCTGCTAATGGCCAATTTTAATAAATTGTGTGTAGGTTTGCTTACTAGAAATAGAAATTGGAGATTAGTTTGGAGCTTTATACAAAATATTTTGAAAATAAAAGGTACCGAGAAAGCAAATCTACAGATAAGTAGGCCTAACATGGAAAAAGGCTGTAAATAACTGCTTATTAAGTACTATAAGGTTGTTGTAACTGTTCTATTGTTGATCAATGTATACTACTAGGGTCAACCTACTTCATTTCTTCATTACATTTTCAAGCTTATTGTTTTGTAATAAAGTTGAAAAGAAATTTAAAAGATTGGAGTATGATGATATACTTGTGTCTACTTTATAATATCAAAAAATGCTTGTGGCACTAGTCAACACAAATTTTAAACTTTTTTATTGAGAAGGGCAGGGTACTATGCAGGTATTATACCAGATACTAAGGCTATAGAATGACTAGATATTATATAATGACACACAAGTCAATATCTCTTTTCCAGTATAGTTAAAAAGACATGTAAATATACTCGACAGATACATCCATCCCTTTTCAACTGCGCTTGAGCTGAGTTCTCAAATTCGACTGAAAATAATAAACAATCTTCTATTTTTGAGAGATATTTAATCTAAATAATGTCAAAAATGATTTTATCAATTTAATTAAATACAATACTGGCATATATCAGCTGCCTGCTCAAGTGCCTGAATTAAATCTTACTATATAAAAGAAAATGATGTTAGTCACATTATTAATATACCTCTAGCTCAAGAACGGCTATATCGATTTGGCTAAAAATTGATGCGGAGGTAGATTACCAAGACACGGAAATAGGATACTTTTAACCAAGGAATTCTCGAAAATCCTATGGAAACGAGAACATAAGGGAGACCGCGTGCATAGCCGCGGGCTAAAGCTAGTAAATAATATTTTTTTCGATTGAGCTCGGTTATTATTTTGGCCAAATGTTAAAGATATTGTTTCGTCTGACAAAAAATAATGTAATTTTGTTGACTAATGTAATTTTTTGACTTTATTCCATCCTGCTGATTTGTATTATTTATTGTTAAGTGGTAATGTGACTGTGTAATGAAATAGCTGGATATCTCTTGTCATACAGTTGTTATTAAGTGTTTATAAGAAATATTTGGCTGTGAACTTGTCCTTGAAGTGTATTTGTAACTATAACTGTACCTATAAAGCATTTATTCATATTTGAACGTATTTTATTCCTTGTTTTTCAATATTTGGGATGTTATACTGAATTTTTTTTCTATCCATTTAATACCGAATCGATACGAGAATCGCACTCGGACATTGTTTGTTCAGCAGTCGCGTTTGTAATCCTTTAGCCAATGGGGCATTTTAATTTATTTTCAATATTATTTTGTAAATTGTTAACTTAATTTTCTTTTTAAAAACATTTAAGTATTAAAAACTTGATTACTTACACTTAGACCCACAATATTAATTTACGGATCACACAAAGGGTTGTTCCGTACGGGAATCAAACCTGCCACTCCTAACACGTGCAGTAGACTGTTGCCTAGCCACTGCGCTGTACCAACCGTGCAGTCGTATTATTTCTCTTTATAAATAAGTAGGTACCTAGTGAATGAAATGTGCATACTAACGCGTTGGTTTTGTGTAAAGCAAATTATTTCCATAGTGAACTTAAAATCAAGGGCTATTAGGTATTTGTAGAAAACTTAAGTAGGTACCTACTAATCACGATACTCATCTTCTGTGATCATGAAGGGACGTGCTCTGTCGTATACCGCATCATCGCTTCATCGCTAACTACTTACCAGGCGAGATAGTGGTAAACATCGGCCCATCAAAATTAAAAATAATAATAATAACCAGCATGTAAGTACCACATTATAGCTATGATAATAGGTACCTTTGTTTGGATTTCTATAAAAATACAAAACCGGTTCTAAAAGTACCTAAAAATTATAGGTCTCCGTTGAATGAAAGAGCCGTTGTACTTATGCATGTGAGTCCAAGTCAAGGGGCAACTTAAAAAAAATGTTTATTGGGTAACCGGAGCATTCAAATAATTATCTCGAATTCTATTGGCGTGTTTTTGTCTTCAAGGTCAAGGAACAACCAATCGAAGCGCAATTTGAGTGTAAGAAATTTGTAATATACCCACACACATACAAACAAAGAATTCCACGAACGAACGAACCGCGTCGCGTGAGGTTCGCAGATTTAGATTCGTCGCAGTTTTTGTTTTGGAAGCAAAGCGACCACTTGAGATTATTTGTTGAATATAGCCTGAAGTCGAAACACAGCTATATTTCTCATTTAATATCGAAAACCGACGACGCATCAAGCTCAATTAAATAAATCGAAGAAAGATTTTTACGAACTAAAAATGAGTGACGGGTTCAGGAAAGTTTACACTGATGGAGCCTGCTCATCCAACGGCATGAGTGGAGCACAAGCTGGTTATGGCGTATACTGGGGGCCTGACCATCCTCTCAACGTGAGTGCCCCAGTCAGCGGTCGGGCCACAAACAACAGCGGCGAGATTCAAGCCGCCACTCGAGCCATGCAGCAAGCCCGCGATAACGGCATCGACAAGTTGGAGATTGTCACCGACTCGAAATTTCTCATCGACTCCGCTACCAAATGGATGCCAGGTATATGTAAATAACTTAAATTTTGATCCGGTGTAGGTACGTAAGTACCTACCTGCCCGTTTTTTTTACATCTTTTGTACCTATTAGGTAAGCCCTTGTAGGCATCTAGGCAGCAATATCTACCTACCTATTGGGTCAATGAGTATCTCCTAAACGTATGATGATCTTAAATATTCTCTTATTAGACAAAAATAGGCAGATGGCTATTTTACGTCCCTCCTCCTAATAAGAGGACTATGTCCGGCAGTCGACGGCAAGGGAGGATGCACTATTAACAATGTTTTTCTTTTGTTTCAGCTTGGAAACAGAACGACTGGAGAAGGGCATCTGGAGAGCCAGTGAAGAATGAAAGTGACTTCAGGGAACTTGATCGCGCCCAGCGCAACCTCGAAGTCAAGTGGAAGCATGTGCCGTCTCATCAGGGAGTTCATGGTAATGAGATGGCAGACAGGCTGGCTAAGGCTGGAGCCAGAAAGTATTATTAAAGCTAAAAAAACCTATGGTTTCAGTTATTTTTTTTATTTTTCTTTTTACTTGATTTTGTAAGCCAAGCATGGATGGAGTCATCATGCCTTGCCTTTCATTTGTTTGTTTTTCTTTTATTACCTAGTTCTAGGATGTTTATTTTGATTTACTTTTGTGTAAACCTCATATCATATGAGGGATTCATGAGTCGATACCGTATGGTAATTTAGAAACACACAGTGTAGGTCTAAACAATGGGGTTGGCAATTCAAAATAGCTAGCATAGCTTTATGTATATTATTTGTATGTGTAAACTATTCATTTTACTTCTAAGGTAAGAAAGCTGCTCCTCATTTATCACCTATTATTAATTCTAACACTTATATATTTGCCAGTCTTAGTATTAATTGTAACAACTAATGTTCAAATCATTAATATTGTGCTATGAATGAAACTTCAACAACAATTACTTATAAGGTGCCATGCCATCTGGACTTATTTTTCACCGGCCAACCCCATAATTCAAACCTGTTTTATTATTATTTCTTTATGAAAACAATTGTTATGGATCTGATGTCTAACAAGCTATAGTTAGACATAAATACATTAATAGGTACAAGTTCACTGTTTGTAATGCAAAAGTGTTTGTCTAAGCAACTCATATTGTAACTCTTACGTACAATCACTGTTAGCTTAAGAAACTAATACATTTTTCATCTTTATTATTACATTTTGTTTCATTTAACAACATCAACCCTCTCTATGGCACTTAAGGTTGAGTAAAGAGTAATTTCCTCACACAGACCGATTATGGAATGAACTCCCGCCATGGTTTTCCTAGCGAGTACAACATGGGGTTCTTCAAGAGGGGAGTGAATAGGTTTATTAAGGATCACAAAACGCATGTAATGCCCGAAGTGTTCCAAACGTACACGGGCCACTGAAACCGCTTACCATCAGGTGGACCGTGTGCTTTTTTGCCACCGTCGTGGTATAAAAAAGTCAAAATTCCCTATTGCTATTCTGAGAACCACTTAAGTTCCCAGTGTGATATACGTTCCTATCTCTTGCAGGGAACTTGAGTTATGAGTTGGTTGTAAATTATGACACCACTCGTAATTGCTGGATTGTTGAATTCTATTATTTTTTTTATTTATAATATTTATATCGTCACGCCCCGCAAAAGCATTTAAGATAGAGTGAGAATGACATTGCCATGGATATAACTACACTTTGTAAAATCTCAAATGCTAGTGCCCCAACGAATACCGATGTACCTAGCATAGTAATTAGCGTAAAAACATTAATATTTCCTGATGTGTCGTACAACATAAGACTGATCAAAATAAAAGTATTAAATAACTATTCATTTATCACGCACTCATGAAACTTAGCGAGCTGTATTATTGAATGCCAGTTTATAAATAGGTATAATTATTTCTGCTATGTCGATGAAAACATAGCTCATATCACATGTAACACGAAACCTCCGTTTATCTACGTATGGCAATACATTCGCTGGATGCAGAGGCAGCGATTATTACCTTGTGTGCTCTAGATATTCGAACTGTAAACTACAGGCATACGTTCTTACACAAATATAGATAACTTTTAATGGATTATGGGAACCTGTTAGAAGACTGAAGACTTTAGTGTCCGTCTGTCAAGATAATATATACCTATTTATAAATAAGTCGACTTGATAAATCAAGGACAAAACAAACAGTAAAATATTACAAAATGTACATAATTCAGCGTACATCATATTATACCTACTTGGCAAATATGTTACCCACTACGTTTTCTACAGATTACTAATTTTAATATTAGATCGAGTGAACCAAAAATAGGTACATTTTCAAATAGAATAAACTAATTTAACTAGATTACTACATGGACTTGTCCGAACGCCCCAACGAGATAACGACTATCGACTATTTTCTCGCTCAAGAAAATAGTATAATATAAATAGTAAACCAATTTCGAAAGGAGGAGGCGGGACGCGTGAGGCAGCGAAGCGCTGCCTCCTCGCAACCCAGCCATCGCGAAGGACACACCGGGCGTCGGGGATCGCGGGACGATCTCCGGCCACCGTAAGCGCGGGCCTGCGGACGGCGAGCATGGGTGGCTCCCCGTCCGACCAGAAACAGACCCGAGCGTACGGCGCGTCGCGTTCCGCGCGCGCCTCAAAGAGCCATCAGACCACCACAGATGGGGCCAAATACGGCCGATGCCGATTCGGAGTCGCGGAGAACCTAACGGGTAACCGGGGCTCCGGCTCGACGTGCAGGAGAAGGAACGGGGTGGTTTTTAGTCAGTAAGAGAGTCTGACACTCCCTTCCGCCTCACCCAGGCGGGAGCAGTAATTCGATGATTTTCCCCCCTTAAAAAAAAAAACAATTTCGAATAAACAAAAGAGATGCGTATATTAATAGTCGATCGCTGACTGTTCACTAGCCAGAGATATTGAATAGTTATTGGATAGTTCCAATATATTACTATACATACTCGCTCCCTGCGGGTCGCCAACCCATTATCAATTCTAGCTCTACTCGTTAGTTGTTCATTGTTGCCGATGAGACAACTACCTTAATGGTTAAAACGGACGAATCTACTAGAGATTTATAAAATAAAAGAATAGAATCGGTTTCATCATTTATTAGTCAAATGAAACAGTTTTGTAGGTACAATAATGTACTAAAAGCTCTTAATAGTAACATAAACTTACTATTTACAAAAAAGACATCACTTGACAACCCTACTGTTCATGCTTAGAAGGAGATTAATGCTAACATAGTAGGAGAAATTTTAGAATTACTTTATTGCAAGTTTGATAAATTAAAATACACTTGTAGAGTGTATTCATCACATGTTTATTTAATTAATAAGCACTTCCAATAAGCCACTGCTTAGTGCTTGACAATTATTTTACACTGTAGCCAATTATATACAGCCACCATTTAAAAAATTAAGGGATGGCCTTTAGCCTTCAACCACTGTTAGCTGTTACCTACCGAGTACAAACTAAAATGCACATTACACGTGAACTTAACATTAACAGTCTTAAAATTATAACAATACGTAGTAGTTACATTATGAGTAACAATATGTCGTTATACAAAAATTGAGAGAATGACATAGATACAAGAAATCCATCAAAGAAAGATAAGGGAAACTCAATTACTAAAAAAAAATTATCAATTGCATGCGCTTAATTTTGTTTGGCAGTTTAGAGTGACTGCGACGTTGAGTGCATATTGTCGCATCAACAACTTTTTTCTATCTTATCACTTGACACGCGAGTCATGTAAGGAGAGCCCCATAAAGAGTTATTTCCGCTCTCAAATACCATATACTACGAACTATGACGTAATTGTATCATTATAACCAGAGTGCTAAGTGCGAGTTTGAAGGAATTTAACATGAACGAAACATTACCAAGTATAGCCCTCTGATTGGTTAAATTGGAGCAGACCAATCAAAACGCCGAATCATAAATGTTTCGGTCTCGTTAATGTTAAACAAATTCGCACTAGGCCCTCAGACCTATCAGTTTCATTTCGCTGCTTGCAGCCTTTCTGAGCAATTCTTCAAGTCTCAGCAAATAGATTACCATTGCTAATTACATAGCGTTTTATAAATCAGAACGTAACATTAATCAATTTACAGTATTTACATAAAACAAAAAGCTCAGAATCGAAAGAAAATAATCAATAAGAACTTAATTGGGATTTTGTGGAAAGATAACAAATTATTATATTTCAACATGCATTTTACTTAATCATAAAAAGATCCACTCTATGTTGAGTGGAGTGTTAATAGTTGCAAAGAAAATGGAACTAATATAACAACTTGGTACGTAAAATAAAAATAGTCCCTCTTATTACCATTTCCTTATATAATTGCCCATACAATCAGTATTTTATTAAAAACTTGGGTCAAGGGAGACTAGTTAACAATATAATTGGTTTGGAAAAATAAAATGGATACCACTTTTCCTAAAATCACATAATTTATTTACATCATTAAAAATTTTACCTTCTACTAAAATTAAAAATCTAGCCGAGACTAATTAAAAAACGGCAGCCGTTCGCGTACTTTGAACTTTTAATGGAAGAATTTCACTAATACATTGTTATTTAGTGTACAATTGTACATAGCTCTTTAGGCTACAATCATTACACGAAAAGTAGCAAAGCTACTGAGATAGCACGAAAAGAGTTTATGTTTTAATAATGATCATTAAAATATAAATATATGTCATAATTCTTAACTCATAACGCTGAGAATGCGATTACACCTCTCTGAACTTAATCTTCCATACACCTCAATCAAAACTAGCGTTTTTCCTAACTACTTTTGTATTAATTTACTTGATTTATGAACATGGTTGTGTATACTCAAGCCAGATACAGCCTCAAGACACGATAAACATTCACAATAATTAACAATCAGAGTTACCATAATGTTAAAATTTGAACTAACAACAATCATACTACTTTATAGGCATTGATTGTATGTTATTATCTATGCATGATATAAAAATATTGATAATAACTAGACTTCTAGTTCTACTTTATCTGTGGACGACCACAAAATGACTATTGTTACGGTTGAGTACTACTTATTGCTTAAGTTTTGATTACAACCATATGCACTGCACTGTTGAAACATTGACTGCACCTGCACGTGTTTAGCGGTATTTGTACTGTTTATTCGTTCCGTTTTCTTCCTATCATATTGTTGCGTTCGAAGAAGTCGAAGCTGACTGGAGAGTCCTTGCCTCAGGAGAAGTACTGAATGGCGTGCGTCCGCCTCGCCGGGGTCACCACCGACGAGTTACTTGCTCCGCCCACTATTAAATACCCTCCCGAAGAAGATACTACTTTCTTGTTTTGATTCTCTTCATTGCTCGTTGTCTGTTCAGAAAGATAAATTGAGTCATGAATCATGATATTTTAGAAATACAATATTCGTGTTATTCTACTACTAACGGGAGTAATAAAGCAAGGCGTGCTTGATGATTAACCCGACGTCGTTGCCTAAGTACACTTGCATCACAGATGCGTTACTACGATCATTTAGCAAACCGTACAAATGCGTCCCGAAAATGACGGTGCAATCTAACCGTAGGTTGGGCAATGGGCATCTGTAACTCATATGTCACCACTTCACCCTGGTGTTGCATAAAGGCTTCAGTTAATATTTTTTACTTTCTCTGGATTGATATTAGACTAAAAATGCTAAATTAAATACGTACAGGTATGTTGTTGATCATAGGCGCGAGCTGGTTGCCACTAACTGGCTTGTATGTACCGACGCATTTCATTGTCTGGTTGCCGCTGGTGTCTTCGACCATACTTACTGAAATCAAATCGTTTGATTGTTAGAAGACAGCTTATTCTTCCGAGGAATTTATATGTATGTTACAAGTTTAACACACCTCGGTATACAATGTAATAATAATTACATAGATTTGGCCCTAGACGCGCTTTTTACTATTTTTGGTATATTTTCTTGTTCAAATCTAACTTGGATATGAGAGATCATGAAGACTGAATCCCTTTATCATCACATCTGGGTACAGGAACTGAACCCGCGATACGTTGCCGAGCAGCTGCATGGAGTTTTATTTAAATTCCAGTGAATTTCATGCCTTAGTACGAGTTTGCTTAACGTTAAGTAATCGAAACGAGACTGTTTTTGGCGCTCTGATTGCTCGGTTCATTGGAGCCGGCCAATCAGATCGCCGAACGATAACAGTGATTATTTATCCCAGATAAAAAAATCCCCAGTTTATTTATAAATATTATACGTACCAATAATAGAAGTCTTGGGTGCGCTATTTGGGTCTTGGTTGAAGGCGCGCGAGGGTGCGACCTTGCCGCCGACCGTCAGGGTCGGAGCGGGCGTTTTCTGTAACACCAATACACGCCCGCTGTGTAATAAATATGTGCGCATTTTGTAACACTGACCACACGCACTCAAACTCTGACTCTACGTAAGTAACCAAATAAGTACAGTAAAAGCAAATATGTGATAAGTCTCTCAAATTGATATAAAAAGAAATTGATTATTTTATAAATTTAAATATTTTTGTACAACAATTCGCAGTAGCAGATTTATTTACACCACATAAAATATTTAGTATTAATATCATTCACTATTATAAATGTCTGTATAAAGAGGTAGAAAGCTGGCATATAATATAATACTAATTATGTTGTTATGATGCTCTAGTTATATAATAACAAAGCATTTTATCTTCAACATAAAAGAAATCTTAAGACAATTTTTTTGATGATTTACAATACTATAATGGTTCACAAAAGCACTATTTATTACACATAATGGTACTAAGATAATATAATTATAAACTTACTGGCATATTATCTGATAGAGACTTCGGAGAGGTTGGTGATTCACCGTTGCTACCATCCTGTTGGAATAACAGTAATTAATACATAGCATTGATTTGTAAAATAAAAATATATAAAAGTTGCGCGGAATCAAAGAAACTTTGTTCATATCTCTCGGACGCAATGGAGCTTAGTATTTATGTGTTTTTATGGTTATTTTACAGAAAACTGGTGTGAAATAACGCTAGCATTGTGTTTCGCCGTGTGAGTGAGGTTATCATAGGCCCGATTCCCTCCTCACTCTCTCCCCACATCCCCTATCATCAAATTCATAACCTATAAAGGGCTGCAACGCACTTGTATCACATCTGGCATTACGGCGTCGATTGCTAATCATCAATTCATACAATAGAAGTAGCAGTTTTGGGAGGTTAATTTAGGTGTGAATGTGTAAGGTCACCTGTCTCTGTTGCTGGCAGGCTGAGAAGTGTTGTGCCCAGTGCGCTCGTTGGCACGGGTACCCGCAGTACGCCGTGTTCCAGCAGCAGTAGAACTGGGCCTCCTGGCTACAGTTCGCGCACCTGTCGGGTACAACATGCCTTTAGTTTATTTATCGGACAATGTAATACAAACTTGTCAAATAATTTGGTAGTTTCCTTAATCAAAAGTAAATTATTTCGACTGTTCAATACAATAAAATATTAAAAAAAATCACATTTCATAAATTGATTTTATGATGAATATTACGCTGTTTGGAGCTAAGCGTGACGTCACAATTCACAATCTCGTACAAAATTCATAGAAAACTGTCGTTTGAACAGTTCGAAAAAAGTATTGAATTTGACTAGTTGACAAGTACGCAATTGCGCGTGCTTCAGAAAAAAAAATGTAATAGTAATTTAATTCAAAGATGAGTCCAATTGGATATTTGAACCCATTATATTATATATACCCTATGAAATACATGTCGCAGTAATTTGGTTTAATCTGCTATTAGATTGAATGACTGGTACGTTAATTGATTGACTAAATGACAACTCGCCATGTCGTTGAATTAACTTAATAATTGTTTAGTTTTCAATAAGAAGAGACTGCATTGAAGATTGTTCATATTATAGTGCGATAACACTGGATTTCTTTTTGACTTACCATTGTTTGGTCTTGGTCTGCTTGACGGCGGTCTCCAATTCAACTTGTGACGCGCGCCTAGCCTCGCTCACCGCTCGTAGCTTCTCTTTCTCGAACGACGCACGCATCTCAGCTATCGTTAGTTCTGTAACATTCATTTTATTACATAAATATTGGCGAAATTTTCATGTTAATCTCCTGATTTAGTAATGGGCAATTTAATATATTTTTTTATGACATAAACCGGTAAACGAGCGGACGGATCACCTGATGGTAAGCAATCGACGTCGCCCATGGACACCTGGAACACCAGAGGCGTTACAAGTGCGTTACCGGCATTTTGGGGATTAGGAGTTTCGAGGATCGTTGGAGATTCAGGGATTGGGGAAGGGGAGGGTAATTGGGACTCCGGTAACCTCAATCACACGTCGAAACACAACGCAAGCGTTGTTTCACGTCGGTTTTCTGTGAGGCCGTGGTATCACTCCGGTCGAGTCGGCCCATTCGCGCCGAAGCATGACTCTTCCACACTTGAGTATGAGCAGCGTGCACGAACGTGGGCACGTCGCGCAGCCTATGTCTTACGGACTCGAAACTAGTAGAGCTTTTCTCAGTATATTTAAGTAAACCATTATTTTTGGTTAATTTACCATAGTTATGTTTAAGTTCCTTGATCTCCTGTTGGTGTCGCCACTTGTCCTGCTCCAGCTGCAGCTTCAGAGTGGTCAGCTGTGACACTGGCTCGTCCAGCTTCTCCAACGAGTCCTCCAGTAACGATCGGAAGAAGTCTGTCATCTGAAAGGGGATTACAATTTCTGTTAGATCAAGTCTCCATTATTTTGTTAGCAAGTAACTGTAAGAAAATGGTCTCTTGCCAGTGACCTCTTGTTTTTATGGTAACTTGGCAAGCAAAATTGAAGGTTTTACTTCAATTAGATCAATAATAGCACTTCAACGGTTCAAAATTACGAAGTACATAATCCTCAGACAAGATTATTTAGAAAAGTTAATAATTGATTCAACTTCGTCTATTTTGATTTCAATAATATTATTCTAATGGTTGCTCGCGAGCATTTTTCGAAAGGGGCGTGTACATGGAAATGTAATGAATTTTTGAGATGTGTGTTATTTGATTAGATTTTTTAGCAGTTGGATAACCTAATGATAAGCGATCAGCGCTGGTCATAAACACCAGCAAGTCTCAACACCAGAAGTAACAAGTATGTTGCCGTTGAAAAAGGAGTAGATGTAATAAGTTTACCTTAACGGCATTCTGATTGAGCTTGGCGGTGACAGGTCCAGCGGTGGAGGGCGGCGGCATGGTGCCTATAGGAGTGTTGCAGTCCAGAGGGTTCTGTAGACACTGCGTCGGACGTTGTTGTAGCCGCGGGGGCTGTAACACAGATAACGTCTGATATAATATTAGTTCATGATGTTAGTGCAAAGGAAAGATGGAATTAGTGCTGTACTATTTTGTATTGATAAGCGAATGAAAGTTGACGTAATAATGTACGGTGCGAGCCCTAGTTCAGTGGTCTGTAACATACTGAACAACAAGCTTTCTTACACAACACTTTTTGACTTTAATTAGTAGGTATCCCTGTCTTTCTTGAATGCTAATTACATGTACTTTAGTGTGGTTTATAACAATAGTTAGGTTAGTTGAAGATGTACTCCTATGATTTGTTATGAAAGTTAGTGGTATATAGATACCTCTCCAGGAGTATTGTCAGTGGGCGTCCTGCTTAGTACAGAGATGGGCGGTGCAGGGGTAGCGGCCGGGAGTACAGGCACTACTGACGCGGCCGGTGTTGCGACTGAGCTTACTAGCGTAGAGTTAGACGTTGGAGTTAATGTCGCTAGTGGAACTGATGTGTTTGATCTATCTGTTATACCGTTTACTAGGGGTGAGGCGGGCGTATTCTGAAATATAGAGAAGATACATTGGTTTTAAAATACAATAAAAAAATTAATCGGACTAAGTGAATCGTAATACACGAGTAAAACGAAATTAAAACTACAAAAGTTCGCAATTTAAGCGTATCATATAAAATAATATTGTTATATTGTCATACATTACGTGTTTTTATAAATAACTATCGAGACATACTAAATTAACTAAAATCGAGGGTAATACTGAGAAAAGCTCTACTAGTTTCGAACCACAGAGGGGTTCTTCCTCATGAGCACCGTGCGAGGTCACTACTAATAGATCTTTTCTCAATACATTCACGTGAGTAACCCGTGATTTTAGAAGACATTACACTTACGAAATGACTTAATCACGATTTATGGTTACCTTCAATAAAATAAATGTCATGTAATTTCAAAGTCAAAAGTATCGAATCAAACCATCAATGTAGTGTACTCACATCAATAGCTCCAACGGACATAACAGGCTGGAAGCTGAACATCCACTGTCCATTGACTGACGTCATCAGTGGCACTGTGTGGACAGTGGGCACCGTGGCCACACTCGTACTGTTGGTCACTCCACTAGTCGAGATACACGGGCTGGACAGCATCAGGGGGGTTGTCACTGTGTTCACTAGGCTGTTCGCTGGAAGGGCAGCAAAGATTTATGATAATAGTTGGAAACATTTTGCATTACGCATGTCTGCAGGTATGTACGAAGACTAACTGGCAAACTTATAAATACCCCTAAAATAAATTTAAAAATAATATGAGAATTATTCATTATATTAATAAAGGTCCTTACCGGACGTAGACATGATAGGCGGTCTAATAATGGGCTGCACGGTAGGCGTCGCTGCGTGTGGAGGGCGGGGCGGTCGCGCGGACGGAGCCTGCGTCATCGGGGGCTGGATGGGAATGTACACCATCGAGTTCTTAGTAACTAGATCCGAACGACTTTCATCCGTCTTCTTCGGCTGAGGGAACGATTTCTTCGCTCTCGGCCGAACCTCAGGCGGCTTCGTCACCTTTTTGGCATTGAGCGGCGTCACCACCACCTTGTTTATCCGAACGTCCCGTAAATTCATTGTCGGTGCCGGCACGTTCTGCGGGTTCACCGGCCGCAGCCTGAAAGCGTTCATGAGATCCATCTTCTCATTATGTCTCTCCGGGTCATCGAGATCGATGGGTTCAGCTTTAATTTCTACTTGCACCTCTTCGTTAGGGGTGTGTCTTTCCGGAGATGTCATCCTCGCGAACGCTCTGACCCCCACGCGCCCTACGACCGGCTCCGTCGTGTCATTACGTAGTCTCTGCAGTTTCGACATAGCTTCTTTCATTGACGTCACGTTCTCTGAGCTAGTAGGTGTAAAGATGCTCGAATCTGAGGTGGACGATTCTTCCGTGATGTCAATAGTGGTCGCATTAGTCGTTGTTTTAGTTATAGTCACGCCTGTAGCCTGCGCAGTGGTGGACAGACTCCGCACGGAACTGATTGTGGGGAGCCCACTGTTGTTGCAAAGTGTTACTGTTACTAGATTATTAGATTTAGGAGTTTCCCGCGCTAAAACAGCTAAAGTAGTATTATCGTCGAAGTGCAACCGATCTTTAACAGATTTCGGAGACTGTACGTCTGGTACAGGTTTAGGCGACATCTGTGCGACCACTGTGGATTTGTTTGCATCTCCATCTTTGTCTTTCTCTTTTGCTGAGGGTTTACTTTCTTTAGACTTGTCCTTCGCCTTCCCATCAGATTTTTTCTCAGCTTTGTCTGATGATCGTGTCGAACTGGTGCTGTTAGTGGACCTACTGCTTCGGGAACTACTTCGTTTTTCAGCTCTGGACCTGTTCCCTCTCGTAGTTTTATCATTGGGTGTTTTATCACCTTTTTCGGCTTTCGCATTAGGTGTTTTATCGACCTTTTCTGGTTTTGTTTTCTCGGGTTTAGTAGCCGATGAAGTTTTATCAACACTTCTAGCAGATTTTGGCCTCTGGGGTGTGGTTTTTTCTTGTTCTTTGTCTTTATTAGGAGTGATAATTTTGGCAGTTGGGTCCTTGGAGGAGCTGGTTCTGGTAGAATGACGTCTTTCTTTGACTAGGGCTATCCTTATGGGAGTTACTCTCTGCGTTTTTTCCTTTTCCGTGCTAGAAGTTGGTTCACTATCTTTAAGTTTAGTTAGTGTTTCATTCGCTTTGACTGGTGTGGTCTGTTTTGGTGTGGTCTTATTTGTTTCGCCTTTAGGTTTGTCAGTAGTTGTGTCTACAACTTTGCTGCTAGTAGGTTCTAGTGCGTCAGGTTTCTTGGTTTCAACAAAGCTTTTACGTCGACTGCGCTTCTCATAGCTGCCGCTAGTTTCAATGATAGTGATGACAGCTTCCTCAAGGTCTGATCGACGACGCTTTCTAGAAGTAGTTGACGTAGGAGTTTGAGTGTTTTCTTTCAATTTGACTGGAACTTCCACTTCCACTTCCCTGTAAAAATTAGAATATGTAAATATTCGACTTTTCAGCGGAATAAATGGTACAAAAGTCAACAGCAATGAACTTACTTCTCAACATTAGATTCATCTTCCTCCACTTTGGCTATTTCCGCACCGTCCGCCATTTTTCTCGCTGGCAGCGCTGGCGCGTCCTCCGTTTCGCTTGCGTCACTAAAACAACGAAACACATTTATTTCAATCCCTTTACTTCTTAATTGTACAGCGAAATTGCTGCTTAACAAGGCTGTGACGACGGTGGGTATGAAAAGAAAAGGAAAATAAATTGGTTAAGTAATAATAATATAGTGGAAGGCCTGTTCAGATATAAGCAGTATGCACATATAGTGGTGGCACAGTTATCACAAGGTTTAAGTTAGCCACGAGAGCTATGACCGGGGTACTGCCGAGGCCGCACTACGGGTTTTACTCACAAACGATTAACCTCCTACCCGCGAAACCGCCCGACATACATGTACGGTTATAAACTGCGAAACCAGTTAACAGTAAGTTTCCTTTGAAAAACAAATGCGGTGTATTTTTCGCGACAATTTGGTAACATTTTAATTTTAGTCGCGGAAATAAATCGTGTTAGCGCTTGTATTCACGCGGTTAACACGTTGAACGCCATACAACATACAACGCCAACATATACATATGAGTCACGATAGCGGAGGATTTGCCGTAGAGTTTTTTAGTAGTAGTGCGACCTAAGCCAAAGTTCAGTATGAGAGTGTACTGACCTGCGTTACTACATACCTGTACTTGTCTAGGAGAGCATACAGACGCTGTAGTTCCTCCCCGTCACTACCCGAATCCGTACTATCCGAGTGTAGGCGCAACCTAGTGATATTTACGGCATCTTGAATTTTATTATTAGGTATTGCGAAGTGAATAAAGCTTATATTTAGAACAGGCCAGTTTTTATTGGTATTGTTTTTTATTTTATAGTTACTTATTTTTTTAAGTATAGAAAATGCAATGTTTTTTTTTCTGAATTGAGGATTTAAATGAATGACTTTGCACTTACAAAAGTCAAAAGAAAAAAATCGTAAAGTACTTTTTTTTTTAACTTTCATGAACATCCAAGCAGTAAAATTAAATACTTTTGAAATGTCTACATTTTATTCCGATATTTCTATAGGTTAATCCTACAACCCGCGGCTTTGGCTATTATTAGTTATAGCGATTAGAAAAAGCAAGTTCAGTAAATATGTAACAAAACAGCAGTGTCACACATTGATCCTTGAAATTAATTAAGTACTGTTACACATGCTAGCACTCTTCACTTAGTAGCATGTGTGTCAGAATGTTGCTCAAAATTGGGTACTTTCCTTAAACTGTCAAACACCAAGCGGTCACCGGTGACCGCAACATATTGTTCTATAATTGTGTCTATAATGACGGTACTCGACGAGTTAATCAATATTAAATTATTAAAAATTGATGGATTTTATGACCAACTTAATTTTAGTACATTTCCAGCAAATTTTTAAGAAATATGTATGCTGTTTGACACTAAAAAAACGTGACATGACAATACACAATCTCGTACAAAATTCATAGAAAACTGTCGTTTTTGACAGTTCGAAAAAAGTATTAAATTTGACTAGTTGGCAATACCCAATTAGCATGCTCGTTTCATGCCTGCGAATCGACAGGCGTTCGATTTTTGAACATTTTTGAGCATACTGAATAGAATTCCTTTTATTATGCTATTTTAGATTATGTGTAACAGTACTTTTGAGCTAGATAAGGTAGGCCTTATCTTGGTATCTATGGTAGGCTTAGGAGCCTTGGAACAATTTGAGAGGACAATAATTTGTTAACAAGAAGTTAAAATATCACCCTACATACAAAATATGGATTGTTCAGTACTTACCCATCATTCAATGAACACTTTGAACCTTTGGAGTTGGACCTGCTCTTCCCCTTGACAGCCGGAGACGGCTTCTCTTTGACTAATGACCTTACATCGCCTTCAAATGTTGGTATCTGTAATTTGAGGGACATTTAGCACTTATGATACATTTATGAGTGGTTCATATAATATAGAAAACACCTACAATATAATATGTATGTGTCATGAGAAAGAAAGAAAAAGCATTTATTCGGCAAATGAGCTAAGTCTTTAAAAAAATTAAGAAATAAATTCTCCTATATTGGTCATATGCTTCGTCCAGAGATTGACAGTTTGGAGAACCTTTCGATCATAGGGAATATAATAAAATAAAAGGGAAAAGATCATGAGAGGTCCCTTTTAAGTTCAACAAGTTGACTAGGTCAAATTAAAGATCTTATGGGCCTCTCCATCTACTAAAATAACTGCGAATTACAACTAGAACTCACCATCATTTTGAGTTGTTCACTCATTCTGCTGGGTTCAAATGGTGTTTTGAAAGGCGGGTAGACGAACCGACCGTACTTTCTTGAAATATTCCGAATGTGTTGTTCTGCTTCCTGTAATAGAATATGTATTGTATGTCATTTACATCTGTTTTATTAAATTAGTAGTAGGTATTCATATATTTAACTCGTCGAGTACCGGTTTTGTAGACACAATTATAGAACAATAGGTTGCGGTCACCGGTGACCGCTTGGTGTTTGACAGTTTAATGATAGTAACGAACGGAAATTCATTTTTATCTATATAGATTTCTAGACTAACAACTCCCCATGTAACTGATCCTGGTCGATCCTTTAGGGGCGCCGCACATGCTGACACTCGTATTCGTTTACGACACTACGCCAATATCCCTTTGACATTGGTTATCACATTCACGTCCGTGTTGCTTTGTTTTCGACTACAAACAGCAGAAACACTGATTAATGGACGTCTCAGGTCTACGTCAACGAGTGCGTGTGCGAGCACATGCAGCGCCCCTTAGGAGTACGAAAGACGTTTCAGTCCTCAGTAGGAGAACAAAGAACGAAATGTAATACAGTATTGGGCAACATCTGTAATTGGAATCTATCAACATCTCTTACCTAAAGAGATAATATTCACGTAATAATTGTAAAAAAAAAAGAATACAATATTCTTACCTGCATACTGTCAATTATATCTTGTCGTTTAGTTCTGAAGTTATTCGGGTCTTTTTCAGAATACAGGAAGCAGTCTTTCGAAGGCACCCAAGCGCGGTCGTGTGCTCCGAAGAAGCGCACGTCCACCAAACCGGAGCTGTTCACCGACATACCTTTCGCTGGCCAGAAGGGGAAACCTGGAAGATGGAATATAATTGGTTGATCATTCTTATAAACTCCTCGAGGTCTATAACTGGACAAAGGTGACTTAGTCAAACTCAACCTGGCTTGCTTTACTTATGATAGACAAGCAAAATAATGCAACTACCATGTGAAATGGTCATAGTGCCAAGACTTGGGGCAAACTAAGTAGGTATTTGTCATTATCATCGTCGAAAGACATCTTTCAGATTGCAAACATCATCACCCCCTTGGTCCGCCACACTGAACAACAATCGAGTCTCTTGTGTATGATGGTTACTCGCGATTCTGATAGCCAAAAGAGGCCCTCGATTGTATCTGTATGACCACGACAAACCCAATCTATTGGATGGATCTACAGCAGTTAGTATGACTCCTGAGTGAGGTCGTGGGCGAAAAGATTTACCTTTCAGCTTAGCCCAGAAAAGTATATGGGGCGTGGAACAGACGTCGGTGAACCAGGTGGGGCGGCGCGCATGCGCAGCGGCGTAGCACTCGGGACACGCCTCGATCTCTCCCATCTCCGACCGACACGACCGCACCAGCGCACGCGCACCCGCCGTCAATTTAGACTGCACTGAAGGGGGACACACGTTTTCATCTGTGATTGTCACAACCAATTTAAAGAAAACTGAATATAAAACAAAATAAACGTATAAACTGAAAAATAAAAATAAACATTAATTTGTTACAAATAAAGAAAGAAAAATGCACATTATGATACCCAATAAGTAGTCGTGAGTATAATGATTCCTTCAAGAAATATTCTAATATTTGTTCAAGCCATATCAATATCGATACATTTGTCCATAATAGCTCAATAGATTACACAGTACCTCACAGTCTGCTATGGAGATAAGCTTTAATCGTTGTGTTACGAAACAAGTCCTAATAAACTACAACATGCATAACCAGATTACACTTGAAGCACTGTGAAAAAGAACACTAATGCCCAATCTTTGTTAAATGTACAGTCCATTATTTTTACGACACCCAGGGTGTAATCAGAAGTGCTAGTATTACCAAATACTACCGTCGAAACACGGCAATACCAATTTTACAATCCAAAGGATATAAAATACTAACGTGTGTTAAAAATGATGCTATTGTGCAGTATCCATTGCGCGTCGGCAAGGAACGCTTCTGTGCTGCCGTAGAGGCCCTCGGAGATGTTGTCTCTCATGAGTGACAGGTCCATAGGATGCACCACATACTTGTCATAATCTGGAAATGCTGTACGGTCTACTGGTTGCATAAATGGTTCTACCTGGAATGAGAAAAAAGGAGTCTTAGCCTCTGTCGGCATATGAGACACGATAGAAAACATTGTGTCTCGTGTATGTCTATGTTCATTCGGCATACCATGGGTTAATATGTATACTGGATACTTTGCCTGATTATTAGGAGAGTAAGGAAGTTTTCTTTTATGGTATAAGCCGGTAAACGAGCAGACGGATCACCTGATGGTAAGCAATCGGCGTCACCCATGGACACTTGGACCACCAGAGGCGTTGCAAGTGTTTTACCGGCCTTTTGTGATTGTTGGGGATTCAGGGATTGGGGGAAGAGTAATTGGGCCTCCTATAACCTCACTTACACGACGAAATATAACGCAAGCGTTGTTTCACGTCCGTTTTCTGTGAGGCCGTGGGTATAACTCCGGTCGAGGTGGCCCATTCGTGCCGGAGCATGGCTCTCCCACACTTTTTTAAAGTAGTTTTGTTTATGGGTGTAAATTAAGTCTGTGTAGCGCAAAATACTAACTATAACCTACGTTTTCTTACTTCTTTCTTAGCTAGAAGTATCACATGCAATTTAATGAGTAAAACTAGTACCTAGGAATGTACGAAAATTAGGTGTAATTTGTACCAGTCATTACATACTCTAGTTAGTACCAGATTGCCTATGTGTATACAACCGTCTAAAGAGCGCATTGTGTGTTAAATGCTCATTGAAATAAGTCCACTAACGCGAGCTAGACTACCTAGCGGTAATTTATTTAAATTTCTCTTTATTGATTAGCTGTCCTAAATACCGATCATATCTTTCTTTTCTTGCCTTATTATTGGGGTAAAATAGTAATATCGATAAATAAAGCATTTACTTGTTTGCATAAAAACATTGCAACTATTTTGTAATGTTTCATGATAATGCTTCTTAGGTAGATTTTACAAGTTAGCTAGTGCCGGTTTGTGCCCACATTATATGCGAAATGTTGTCGTGGACTCGTGGGTTATACGTGGCTTGCCTAGTTCCTACGTAGGTGGACCTAGATACCTACGCAGTACGCATAATGCAAACGATTTCTATAGGGCTGGCTACTCAACGATACGATACGACAAGAGATGTAAACAATGATTCATATCTTGTGTAAAATTGGGTTTATCACGCACGACAACGTATATCGCCAAATCTTATATTAAGAATTTCTGCTAATATAAAAGCATGACAAACCGACGAATCAAGAAAAATGCAGCACACAATACATGTTCAACACACGCACATGTTTATTATTAGCGGTAGGCGGGAGAGCGAGACAGCAATAGTGACGCTTCGTTATTGATTTGTTCTGTAAGAGCGAGAGGGAGCGTGTCGTTCGCGGGGTCCGCGCGGCGCAGCTACGTAGATAAGTAGCAAGGTCATTTCACCGAGTCCCGCCCGCCGGCCGCGCCAGCCGCGCACCGTTTGCGGAGCGCTACATACATTTTAATATCTGTCCGGCTGTGTCGGTTCATGCGTCGGTCCGGTGAAAGTACACCGCCGCTGTTACATGATAGTTATACCTCACAATCTACAAATATTCCTACGAATGCCTTCAAATTTTAGTTTATTTAAGCAAAACAAAGACGCACATGTCATCGATTTTCATAACTTTATGGATAGCACAACTAGTATTTGCATAAATAATGAAAGTTGTAATAATGTTAGTGATATGTTAGTTAGATTGACACAATATTCGTGTCAGTCGACCTTTACATTTGAGCACGCATAATCTGCATGGCAGGTAGATATCAATGGCAAGGTAGTAATAATAAAACGGACAAATTACCCCATTCGTTTCCGTCATCCGTCGCAGCGCGTGCTTCAATAGATCGCAGAGCATTCCAAGGGATATCTTCTTCATGGCTGGCGACCTGGAAATATGTTCAATTCATTGAAGACACATTGTGTTGCATTTGGCTAATATTACTTTAAATGGGGTCGACGAAACATGCTGTATAAGACGCCATTTTTAGTTTCACACACGTCTTATGCATTAAACATTTATCGGCTGGATTACTATACATTTGTGTAACATTCCTGATCAAAATAATGTCTTGAAGCACGTCAAAAATAAGAATAGATAGGAAGGAAACAGTTCAAGAAAATAGCTGTTTGTAGCAAAAAGATTCAATGCCAGGTGATAACCTACATACTGAAATTAATCTGAACTAAAATATTATGATGATAAAATTAAACAATTTGCAACTATTTTCGCTTGAAGCACTAGCGAGCATATTTGTTTAGTTATAGTTTGTTAAACAAACATTATAGGGAAATTGCTCAGTTTTTAATTTGATCAATTAAGGTAAATTAAATTCATATTTGTTTTACAAGGTATGGTGTAAAACAATGAAGCTAAGAGCATGTTTCACAATATCTAACTGGTATATAATTTGACGTATTTCCTTTTAAATCCTTATTTTATTAGTAAATTTGACATATTTTCTTACACAAAATGTGTAAAAACCTTAATGAGACATTGTGAAACAGACACTAAAAGTTATCTATTTGAGATGAAGTCTAAAGAATGAAGGCACTAGGGCTTACTTTTAGGCTCAAAAGGAACTAAGAAATTCAAGTGAATAAAGTAAAATTACCTGGTCTCGGAGCTTTCAGCCTGTAGAACTATCATACATTCAGGACACACCCAATTTTTCTCTACATTTATCTTGCTCTTCTCGGGACCCGTCAAGCACTTGTAGTGGAAGGTCCTCGGGCAAACTGTACAGTGCATCGGAGGATGCATCTTCTCATTGGTAGCATGCTCCACCGCCCAGTGACAACGCCAACAGTAAGGGTCTGAACGAAGCTTGTTGCTATTTTCTGTAATCTGATAAAATAGGTTATGACTTAAAACTGTTTTAGTAATTTGCAATTGCTTTAATTTAAGTTTCAGATGAGAGGAAAAGTGAGATCAAATGAGCAATACTAATAATGATAACTTTCTCTAACAACAATGAATTATTATGACAACTAACCATTATGAGATATAAAACTACTGTTTTAATGACAAGAGTTTCTGTTAGTGAATTATTAGTGACAAGATAAAGCTCAGGTAGCCATTTTGTTGTTCATACAATGTCAATATACCCCTCTAATATTCAAAATGAGTTACTGGCCACTTCAAAATATTGTGCAAAGAGGTTATTCTGCAATTAAAAATGTAAAGCAAGTGTCATAAACAAATTATAGAAAAATCTAGCTACCTAATTTTGTCTAGATAATTATTTTATGACTATGAATTTTAGACTCTTATGATCACATGGATAAATTACTTTGTAATGATATCATGAACACTAATAGTAATTAATAAAAGTTTGTATACTTACTACAATTGGTTCAGACTTTTTAACTTTAGGAGGCGTCCCCTTAGCATCCTGCTCTAATATTTCACTCTTATCCTTGCTTTCCACCACATCATCCTCATCATCTGAGTCTTTACTACTTTTACCAGTGACAGAATTCAGAAACTGCTTTACCTTACTAACAAATTCCGGGTTTTGTGACCTCATTGACCTCTTGAGATGTGTTTTATCAGATTTTTCACTACAATTGCTCTTCTGTGAGTTATCACTGTTTCTTCTAGTGTCATGTATCTTGCCAGGCTCCAACAAAGAAGAATTGAGACTTGAACTAGATGTGTCTAAGGCACTTCTAGACTTTCTTGTCTTGCTTTTTAATTGTGTACACTCACTAATGATCTTAGATTCTTTGGCAGACTTTATTAAGGATTTCAATTCTCTGCTAATGCCCTTGTGTTCTTTTTCTGATATGTCAGATAATGTTTCAATTTGAGAATCATTTGAATTTTCAATGGTGATTTCTATGGGTGCGATTGTAGCTATAGTTTTAACATTTGTGTCACCCATTTTACTAGTTTCATTTGATTGGACCTTGCCATTGACTGTTGTTTTGTCATTTGTTATAGTTTCTTTTGTTGGTGTAGATCTAGCAGAATCTGAAGGCTGCAGCTCATTATTGGGAGACTTTGGAACAGGAACCTCTTTACTTGGACTTAGAATCTGGGTGGGTTTGTCTTCTGTTTCATTAACTGGAGATTCTTTGATTGGTGATGCTTCCACAGTCACTTCCACTTGTTGTGTTGCAACAGGTGCTGAAACCTCATCGGGCACCTGTGGTGCAGTCTCCACAATCATTACTATTTCAGTATCCTCTGTAGAATTTACAATTTCTGCATCAATAGTGGGAGATTTTGTAGGAGACTTTAATGGAGATTTAGCTGGACTTTGAACTGGAGATTTAGCTGGACTTTTGACTGGAGTATTGGCTGGACTTTTAATAGGAGATCTTGCTGGCGATTTCACAAGAGTGACTGTTGGTGTCTTTATAGGAGACTTCACTGGCGATTTTAGTGGGAGTTTAACTGTTGATACCTGTTCTTTCTCTGGTGCTTTGTCTTCTGGTGTCATTATACTGTCGGTACCTTCATGAACTGGAGACTGGTGCTCATCAGATTGGTCGTCAGCTGTTGACTCGTCATCCATCTTCTCCACAACTATGATCATCTCGACGTTACCGTCGGAGCCTGTTACTTCCTGCGTCTCAGGAACATCATCAGTCGTGGACGACACGTCTGTCTCCATGTGATTCTCCGTGCTCTCCTCCATCACCTGTGACAAAACAACAACTTGGTATTTTTAGCTTGACCTTTTGTGATGTAAGAAAATGTGGTTATTATAACTTGAATAGTAGTCTGCTGTTATGTCTTAACAATAGATATCTAAATATTAAAGGAACCGGTCATTACCCAAGCTCAACCACCCTGCCAGCTACTTACATACCTACTTTCAATACAATCATACAAATACATAGGCTTACCACTAGGTTTATTATTTTTTGTCCACTTCACGAAAACACCAAACACTATTCACCGGATGCAGTAGCAGCTGAATCTTACTCATAGGACTTAGATTTTAATTAGCAATTGTTTTGTGATCAAAAAATATCACCAACCAACGAAAAAATCCACACATCGCCATCGCACGTACAGCTACGTTTAGTTTTATTGGTTATCTCACAGATGGAGCTGCTACTGCCAACGTACAGAAACAAGGAAGTTACATTACAATAGTTCTCAAGACATCTCTTTCACAAAGCTAGTTGTTTCTTTTTTTAACATACAGTAGCTGTATCGCACTGTCTCTTTTTAACTCGCGTGTAACGGCTGTTGATAATATTGTGGTACTCTTCTAAAATGAGAGTGAAGTTAGCCAGTGTTGTAATTAATTGTTTATAATAGCCAGTTTTATCAAAATTCATCAATAAGAAATTGTGTAATAATCATCAAGCGTTCGAGTAATGATAATATTAGCGTTTAATTTCAATTTGTGTACATTTCTTTCCGTTATCGAATTATTTTTACGCCCGATTGTTTGATATGAAATGTCAATCCGGCAGAGTGCAGCTGATTGCCAACTTAAAAACCGTAAATGAATGAAGTTATGTCAACGTCAGGATTAAATGATTATTTATTATTTTAGAATTATTTATTTACTGCGTGATAATATTTGTAAGAATGGAGTTTATTGAATTGATACACATAAATAAATTGGATGGTGTTATTTTAAAGTATCCGCACCAAGATAATGTGGATGGAACAGTATGTATCACAGGACATCATCTTATTTTGAGCTCTCGAAAAGAAGGCGTTCACGAACTATGGGTACGTTTAATAGCCCAGTCATTTTAGGGGTCAACCTCGGAATGAAAGATAATAAGCTATAAATTGGTATAAACCTTTGTTTTGTCGTTCTAAATGTTGTCTCAAAAGTCACAAATGATACCGTGTCCGCGTCTTAAGATATTGAAGGTCAAAGGTCATAAAAACTGGTTTTTCGTGAATATCTCGCTTTCTATTGCTTAAATAAAATATCCTGTCCCTGCAATCTAGACGCACACTCCTTGAAATGATGACCCTCTTCAGTATATGCCGCAACAACTTTGACTGTTCTGATCTTGTGAATGGTTTGTGCTACCTGGTCCCTCGCTCAGTACACAGCAGAGAGGTGCGTTCACGGAACATGTTTGCAACTAATCTCCGTCATACCAATTCAGGCGCACGCTCACCCATGCATCGATTGGTTGACACTTATAATAAAAGGTTTGCATCAATTGATATTTTATTTCTAAGCAAGAACACTTTTCGACAACGAATCATTAACATTTTAAAAGAACAACCACTATAAAACTACTATATTAATAGTATTAATAGACTCCAGACTTTTTAATTTTAATTTTTTTTTACATGTTATTTGTGTTTCACATTCATATAGTGCACAAAAAAATATAATATATAGGTAGGTAAAAATATGTAATAGGTAGGTACAGGTAAAAAGTAATTCTGTAATTTATATGTATCCTATGTTTGTATAGTTTGTAGCTTCAAGTTTGCCCCATTGTGTTTGCTAAGTAGATTTATGGTAATCCGTGGCAACGTCGTGAGGAGTGTATTTGTTAAATCTATTATTTTACTCACCCGTGTTATATTTAATATACTGCTGTTTGTTGTCCTTGATAAATAAATAAAAAAATAAAAAAAAAATGATATTTTTACCTATAATAAATGTTGTAGAGTTTCTACTTCGCGCTCTACCTCAAAAACGGTTGATCGTACTAAAAAAAACACAAAACAAAAATTGTAGAGAATTTTATACTCTACAATATTTATTAAAGGTAAAAATATCATTTAAGCAATAGAAAGCGAGATATTCACGAAAAACCAGTTTTTATGACCTTTGACCTCCAATATCTTAAGACGCGGACACGGTATCATTTGTGACTTTTGAGACAACATTTAGAACGACAAAACAAAGGTTTATACCAATTTATAGCTTATTATTTTTCATTCCGAGGTTGACCCCTTTTTTTACCTAATATGACTGGGCTATAATTACTTTATTTAATTAGAAAACGTAACTTTCATGCATTTCATAACCTTTCAATAGCATCGTTCAGTATAAAATTCTATTACAATGTAAGTACCAAAGTGATTTAAATGTTAGCATCAGCTGACAAGTAGTCAACACATCTGTTTCCATGTATCTGCACTTTGCAGCTACCACCAACTATTTGTTGCATTTATTGCAGGTAATAATACTTGTTAACATGTCTATTAACTTAGTTCGTGCAATCAATAAAATTGGAAAATTATACAATTAAAGATTGCAGTCAATGAATTACTGCAATCTGTCATTATGTTAAAAACCATGGATTATTATTTTATTAAACATGAAAAATTGTAAAGTTGTTATGCTATACCTATTTCTATGATTAAAAGAAACTAATATTTAATTGTTTAAACTGTCAAACACCAAGCGGTCACCGGTGACCGCAACCTATTGTTCTATAAATTGTGTTTACAAAACCGGTACTCGACGAGTTAAAAAGTAGAACAATCGAAAATAATAAAATGAATTTATTTTTCAGCTTCTCCACAAGAACATAGACTGTATAGAAAAAAAAGAAAACAAACCAATCAGTGGAGTCACCCAGGGTGGCTCCCTGTTCCTCAAATGCAAGGACTTGAGGATATTCCAACTGGATATAGCTACAACAAATGAATTAAACCAAATGGCACAAACCCTTGAGAATTTGTCTGGATTACAAGATCCAGGATTGTTCTACCCATTCTTTTATAGACACATGCACCCTATTGTGGAGAATGGGTACACTCTTTACAGGTATATGTTTATCTTAATTTATGAACTCACCCTTATTACATTCTGCAGAGGACTTACGGGTCGCCGGGGCACCGGTTCGAAGTACAGGAGTAGGAATGGGATTGGATTGGATTTTTTTGATACCTAAAATATCCCTTTGTTGTTAAACATCAATTTTCAGTTTATCATGTAGTACAATTAAAATGTAGAGGATACCTTATCAGCTTCCTGATATTTTGGAATGCTGAATGTGATTCATAATTTGTATCAACAGGTTTCAACTGACAATATTGTGAATCAATGTAGGTACTTATGCTGCATTGTGCCTGGTGCTGAATAAGTGTTTTTTCTTTCTTTCTTAACATTAACATAATCTCAACTCATTAGAATAGGTTGATTAACTCGTCAAGTACCGTCATTATAGACACAATTATAGAATAATAGGTTGCGGTCACCGGTGACCGCTTGGTGTTTGACAGTTTAATTGATACCCTGTATTGGAGACTTGGTTGCCATTCAAGAAAGAAAAAAAATTTATACCTTCAATTACCTGTTGGTTTTTTTTTCTATTAAACTGTCAAACACCAAGCAGTCACCGGTGACCGCAACCTATTGTTTTATAATTGTGTCTATAATGACGGTACTCGACGAGTTAAATGTGCATATTTTGTTTTGCCCAATACCAAAACTAGGGCTAACACGCTAGTAGGCTTAGCTAGTTTATCTTACATAGTGCTAATGACTACCACAATCAAATTAATTACACTATGAACTAGTTATCTCTGAGCAAAACTTCATTTAAATTACCTTTTTTTTACTATACTTCAGTATAGAGGGCGAATTCACAAAAGTATTAGCGACTGAAGAATGGCGAGTTTCGCGCGTGAACCAGAACTACTCAGTGTGTCCCAGCTATGGGAAGGCGGTGGTGGTGCCCAAGTGTGTTGATGACGACACCCTCGCAGCCGCAGCTACATTCAGGCAGGGAGGACGGTTCCCCGTACTCTCTTATAGACATAATAATGGAGTGAGTATAATGTATTAAATAAATAATATTATTATTATGTTATAAGCACAAGACACCGGCGAAGCGTCACCGATTGATAGTAGATGTCCCACCCACACGTACGAAGCGCTTTGCATCAAGCTTCCTTGTGCATACTGCTAAGGAGTGGAATTATTTGCCAGAGTCTGTATTTCCTGGGTGTCTTCAAGACCCGAGTGAATAGGTTGCTTATGGGACGACGTGCTCCATCGTTGACCGCATCACCGCTTACCTACCACCAGGCGAGATAGTGGTCAAACGTCGGCCTATCAAATATAAAAAAAACATACTGGAAGTTGATTGTATCAATGTACATAAGGAGTAGAGACTACGTAAATATTTATCTTATTGTAAAAATGTAAAGGAACAAAATTGATTGGATGCTTGATTGTAATGTGTCTGGCATGCAATAAATAATTTTTGCCTGAAGATTAATTGAGTGCACACTGCATAACATAAACAAGGATAATGTAGTTATGTGTTTATCAGTTTGTCAATGTACCAGGTATATATAGGTACTATTTTTGCTAATATGACAAAGTACTCACAATCAGGGCAGTCTTAGACTATGCCGTCGCGGAGAACCTAACGGGTAACCGGGGCTCCGGCTCGACGTGCAGGAGAAGGAACGGGGTGGTTTTTAGTCAGTAAGAGTCTGACACTCCGGGATCCCGCCTCACCCAGGCGGGAGCAGTCATTCGATGATTTTCCTGCCTTAAAAAAAAAGTCTTAGACTATGCTGGGACCCTTTGGCACACAAAAATTCGTGGCCCGTTTGTACTGCTTTTTTTAAAGTTGCCTTACACTAAGATTTTCTCGTCGTGGGTGCATTTACAAGCATAGTGGTCAAACGTCGCCCCATCAAATATAAAAAAAAAAAAAAAAAAATACAAAAAAAATTACAAGTTCACCTAAACATGACGCCCACACCCGAAACAATAATTTATGGATAACACAAAGATTTGCTCCGTGCGGGAATCAAACCCGCTACACGTTGTGGGGCAGCCGGTTACCGCGCAACGTGTATCGGATGTGTGTCCGTCCTAGAAATTCGGTCCTTCGGGGCCCCCTGAGGATGGGGGCCCGACCGCAAAGACGGTACTGCCCACAATTTAGGACATAAAACTTGTAGCAAATGACAAATATTTTAAAACAGTATAATAAATTTACAGGCAGTTCTAATGCGCGCCGGCCAGCCGCTGTACGGTCCGAAGCACAGGCGGTGTCGACCAGACGAGGCGATATTGAATGCAGTGGTCGCAGCCGGCACCAAAGGCATCATATACGATCTACGCAGCTCTAACTCGATATCACAACAGCAGAATAAAGGTTCTTTTTTTACTGTTTTTTCTGAGAGGTTATCGCCCATGGAATTACTTCAGTTGAGCCGGCCCATTCGTGCCAAAGGATGTCTAGCATGGCTATCTCATGTAAATTAGCCTATATAAAAAAAACTGAAGTGTGGGATTGATTTTTTTCTCACCATAACCATAACATCACGCCTTTTATCCCCAAAGGGGTAGGCACATACTGTACAATGTAACAGCCACTTTTCACTATTTATGTTATAATATAAGTCCCATGTAATAGGGGGTAAGTCTATTGCCATATACCGGGCACAATTCCAGGCTCCGTGCTACTACTGAGGATTATTTAAAAATCCAGTAATTCTTTGCCCGATTGCGGTATCGAACCCGAGACTCCTTGCTCGGCAGTCGTACTTGCGACCACTCAGCCAGCGAAGCAGTTCTCATGAGACGATAAAGTGCCTGTGTGCCTTATGGTGTCGGCAAAGTGAACAAAATCCACCTCAGATCATGTCCCACAGCTGGGACTATTCTGTAACTACCAATTCGAAGTGACCTTGATCGCACCCATCGAGAATATTGTCACAATTAATCTCATGGCAGACCGCAATGGAGTTCACTTCGATCTTTCGAATTGAAATATTACACAATGGCCTATCTGGTGTCCTAAGAGCTGACGATGAACTACACATTTAACAGAAATCAAGCTGTAGTGCTTTTTATAAATATTGCCACAGCCAGAAGTTTTAAGACACTACACAGTCCGTCATTAAAAAAAAAATACTTTTTTAACTTTCCAGGTGGTGGAACGGAGAGCAACTCGAACTACTCACAGTGGAAAATATACAACAGGTCTATGGATGAGGTTGACAATCAGCAACCACTGTTGGACAGCTATGCTAAACTAATCGATGGTACAGTGTTCTAATTTTTAACCAAAAAGTATTTACCGAAGGCCTAATTGCTCCCTCCACCTTCTTGCTGCCTCTCTAAAGGCTGAACACACAGAATCCTTTAATGGGAAATACCTGCCACAACCTCCCAAAACCGCTGCAACTCCTGTAATCCATCCAGGATCTAATAATACCACGCCTTTTATTCCCGAAGGGGTAGGCAGAGGTGCACATTATACCTCTGTACAATGTAACACCCACTTTTCACTATTCATGTTACGAGTCCCATGTAATAGGAGGTGAGCCTATTGCCATATACCGGGCACAATTCCAGACTCCGTGCTACTATTGAAAGTATTTAAAAACCCAGTAATACTTTAATGTAATCGAACCCGAGACCCCATGCCCGGCAGTCGCACTTACGACCACTCGGCCAACGAGGCAGTCAAGGATCTACTGTAGATATAACTATGAAAACACCGCAACGCTCAAGTCCGCCGCGTCTCAAGGACATGAATAACTTTCTTGGATCCCACAACGAAATGAATCAGAAGATATTAATAGAGAAGAAGGAAAATATGAAAAAGATAAAAGCTAGTTCTAATTAAGTGTTTGTATAATTATGTTCGCAGCGTGCAACGACCGTGAGATATCGAGTGATAAATGGATCTCCCGGCTGGAGTCATGCGGCTGGCCCGAGAGCGTGCGGAACTCTTTACATACAGCCTGCATCGTCGCACAGCATATCCATCAGGTGACAAACATCTCTAGAATTACCTTTATGGAACAACTAGCTACTTCCGCACGGTTTCACACGCTCTGCTTAGCTCCTATTGGTCGTAGCGTGATGTTTTATAGCCTATAGCCATCCTCGATATATGCGCTATCCAACACAAAAAGAATTATTCAAATCAGACTTGTAGTTACGGAGATTAGCGCGTTCAAACAAACAAACAAAGAAACAAACTCTTCCGCTTTATATAATAAGTATAAGATATACTTTACAAAAGACATAGAGAATTATTCACTTTCACATATTTCGTCGTATAAGTGAGGTTACTAAAGGCCCAATTACTCTCCTCTCTAATTCACAAATCCCCAACAATCCTCAAATAACCTAACCCCCAAAAGGCCGCCAACTCAACCAACTAATGCCTCTGGTGTTTCGAGTGTCCATGGGCGGCTCTGATTGGTTACGATTAAGCGATCTATCTGACCATTTACCTGTTTATACCATAAAGCACGTTTAGGAGTGAGAGACTCGAATACTTAATTTTTTTATTACAGAAAGCGGAACCCGTCCTGGTCCATGGTACGCGTGGTGAAGATGCTACGTTATTAGTTTGCTCTCTAGTCCAGATTATACTGAACCCCGACTGCAGAACTATACGAGGGTAAGTTAAATGTTTTATGGGAGCGCGGAGTTATCATTGAAGTGGTTAATTAAGAATATCTGAAAGCTTTTACTACAGTATTTAGGTACACTTTGGGCATGTCGCAAGTGATACATAAAGTCGCATTTTGAGTTCAAGAGTTGGGTACAATTCCCACTTTAAATAAATTATTATTCCTTGTATTATAACTTTCGTGAGACATACTAAATAAATTATTATGTTTTCGGCTTACTCACGTAACTGTTTGACGAGGAACTCGACTAGTTTCAAGTCATGCTAGAGGCTCATATTCATGAGCAGCATTTCGCGACACGCGACGCGGCGACTGTCGTCTTGTTTAAACACAATTTAACAATTTAAATTATTATTCCGTTTCGAAATTCTCTTCTAAGCCCCATATGGGATGGTTTTAAGTCAGTAAGACTCTGACTCTCGACTTAACTAAGGCCTAAGAAGTTATTTCCCCTTAAAAAGTTCTCATACACACTAGCGGTTGACCGCCTAGGTATTTTGTCGGTTACTATAGCGGTTTTATCGCGGTTGCATATAAAATTGAAGAAGCGGCTAACCGGCGGCTAGACGCGCGGTTAACCGCTAGGACGTATGGGGCATGGGGGCTGATATTGAAAAAAATACACAATAATATAGATTTCGTATCTGACAGCTACATGCTTCCCTTTTCAATGTAAATATTATATTTTTTTAAATGTATGCCACAGCCTACAGGCGCTAATAGAGCGCGAATGGAACGCGGCGGGCCACCCGTGGTACTCCCGGCAGCGCGTGGGTCCGTACGGCGCGTCCAGCGCCCGCGCGGCGCCCACCTTCCTGCTCCTGCTCGACTGCATCAGGCAGTTCCTGGAGCAGTTCCCCTGCAGCTTCGAGTTCCGACAGTCTTTTCTTATCACCCTCTTTGAACATTCTTATGCTAGTCAGTTTGGTGAGTATGGATATTGTTACTCTTGTTTGATTGGTTCACTTATACCGCTACGTTACGTACCTATGTTGTAAAATAATATCCGGTCATGTAACATATCAGTTCGCAATGAAAATTTATATATGAAGTTGTCTACAATTTCCTGAATTTTCTACGTTTATGAGAGAAGTTGTTTTAATGATTCTGTGTAACAGGGTAGATGCCTAATTTTTATTTTAATATCCGTCTGGTAGATTATTTTAAATCATTAGACACGTATTTTTTATTTTCTTACAGAAACGAATACTTTCGACGATATATTGATTTGAAATGTCGCGTGACGTCACTTCTATGAACGTTTTATACGTAGAAATGACTTTTTAGCCCCCACTCTTAAATTTTGATTCGTTTTATTTAAGTACCTATTGTTTTATTATACGACAAAATAAAAAAATACGTGTCTAATATTTTTTCATTACCTAACTTACGGGCCAATTAGATTTTTCATTTTCATACCCTGTCATCATTCCAATTTATTTTCTGTGGTTCAACAAAATTCAAGTACGGCAACAAGTCTTTTAGATGTAATAATTTTTAGCTATGTACACCAAATGTGTCATAATATTACGCACGCTTAAAAGAACTAACGCGATAACGAGCGTTGGTTTTCAGCATTCCATGACGTTTTAGCACTAGCATGCATCCAGAAAATCGTTCACCGCATTCAGACCAACCATCACTTTAAACTATAGAACCTTCCTTCCAACCTTCTACCTCTTTTCCAGGTACATTTATGTGCGACAATGAACAAGAGAGAGAGACTCGCGGCGTATACTCGCAGACCACGAGTCTCTGGTCGTGGCTGAACCAACCGGACGAGCTGCCCAAGTACATCAACCCGCTCTACGATCCCACGCCCAACGTTATCTGGCCCTCCGTCGCACCCATGAGCTTCGTTATATGGGAAGGTATATTTCAAAGCCTTTTATGTCACTTCATCATAACATAACATATTATATAACGGCACTTAATGACACTGTACAATGTAACACCCACTTTTCACTATTTATATTATAAGTCTCATGTAATAAGGGGTGAGCCTATTGCCTTATACCGAGCACAATTCCAGACTCCGTGCTAGTACTGAGATTTTTTTTTAAACCCTGTAATACTGACCCCTTACCTTAGTCGCACTTGCGACCACTCGGCCAACGAGGCAGTCGTCTTACTGTCTTATGTTTGTTAAAGCAGTATGGTTTTGAAGGGCCAAGTAAAGTCTATGTAACCTAAAATATTTCTGTAAAAATCTCTAGTGAATGCGTCAAGTGGTCGCAAATGCTTAGAAACGAGTTTCAGGTATTGCGTCATCATAATCTGACCAATCATGAAGGCTAAATCATGATTCCTTTCCTAATTTCAGAGCTGTACCTCCGCTGGTTAGTAAAACAAAACACGGAGGAGCGAGAGGAACAATACGGCAACATTCGCGCACGTGAACAACAACTGCGTGCGCATGCGCAACAGTTGCGACGCGAGCTCTTCGACATTGCGGCGCAGTACTACGGACCTAAGCCAGACGATAAGTAACCACTAGTCACTTGTAGATAGTGTAGCTAGTATTTCCTTACTGTTGGAAATGGAACCAGTGCAGTACTTTTGTGTAAAATTAGATCTATACTCGGAATTTTAATTCGATTCCAGATTTGACAATTTCAGTGTTGCAACGTTATGACATGTATTAAATAGTGACGTTGCGAAATTATTCGATAAGGAAATGCAATATTTCTGGATCGATTCTTCTCGTTTATAATTTTACTACTACTGTTTACGAAACAAGGTATATCAGGAAATTAAATATTTCTGAACCGATAATTTACTTTTGACGATTAATTAACGATCTGAGACTTTTCTTTTATAATTGTGTGTGAAATAAATTTAAAAATGTAATCATGAAGGAACATGACAAATAAAACAGATAGATGTATTAGGGTAATAAGTTATTTTATAAATTGTCGCCGTCATCGCTATCGCTATCCTATCACTTTCTGTAACATTTATTATAAAACACACACACTGATTGTTTATCGATTTTTGTGTGCATCACTACACTATTATATGTGGTATCATTATTTCACAAAATGACAGTAGCTATTGTCAAATCTGGAATCTAATTAAAATTCTGACTATAAGTTGTAACAGTGGCACACACCTGGAACCAAAAATATTGATTATTTTTAACCTAAATTAACTAAAATCGCGGGTTATTCATGTGAAAATTTATTTTTTTATATTTTATGCAATAGGTACACAAAATAAAAACACAGCGCAATACACAACAGAGTAACAAGATAAAACTGTAAATGGCAGACCATGCTTCCACAAGTATGTGCACACAAGATGACATACAACGACTAGTATTTATTTATAATGAACTAGCTGGCCCGGCAAACTTCGTATAAATGTTTTTTCTCATTCTTATAAACCTTCCCTGGACTCCCACGAACATTTCAATACCAAAATTACCCAAATCGGTTCAGCCGTTTTTGAGTTTTAGCGATACTAACGAACGGAAATTGATTTTTATTTATATATATGTAGAAGCGGTGCGTGGGCGTTCATTTAAGGGTGGGCTGTCTTCCATTGGAATCCGTGAAATAACACTCGGTTTATAATCTCTTGGTTTCTTAAAGCAGGTCTCGCTATAATTCAACTAAAAATAAACAGTAATTTCTTGGAACTGATTAAATATTGGAACGCGGTGAAGTCGGCACGTAGTTGACAACACACCTTCCCGTCCACCCTCCTCTACCGACCGTTGACAGTGACATTAGTTGTAATATTTGCCTCTTTTCAGCTGTCACTCTTAAACTTCATTTTCTTATAAATAGGTCGGTAAACGAGCACATATCACCTGATGGTAAGCAATCAGCGTTGCCTATGGACTCGCAACACAAGAGGAGTTAGTGTAGTTCAGTGTTGACAACCCAATAACCGAATACACCCAAGTCGGCTCAGACTTGACGTTCCATCCTACATTCTACGACATATAGATTATTATAATCCAGAACGAAATTAGAGATAACGAAATAAGAGGTAATAATAATAAAGAAAATTAACAATGTATATAAAATACTGAGAAAAGCTCTACCACGCATGTCTCACCGTGACCGCTCACGCTGCTCATGAGGAAGAGCCCCTCTGTGGCTCGAAACTAGTAGAGCTTTTTTCAATATTATCACGTGAGTAACCAGGTATTTTTAGTTAATTTAGTATGTCTCACGATAGTTATTATAAAAACATATTTTAACTTCTACTCGAACTTAATATACTGTGCATATATCGTAATTTACTGTTCATATATGATGTATGGTCTTCTTTTACTTTAAATTACTGTAGACGAATAATATGAACGCTAGTCACACAGAGAGAGAGAGAGAGAGAGAGAGAGAGAGAGAGAGAGAGAGAGAGAGAGAGAGAGAGAGAGAGAGAGAATGACAGAGAGAATGACAGAATAAATAAGTAAATAAATGGGAAGGTTTATAAGTTCGTCGTCTGTGAATAGCATACAATGACTTTTCTATTCCATTAGCGTTTATGTTATTATGCTACTAGCACTGAGTACTTAAACAATGTCAGAAAGTCAGATATAACTTTCGAGTCGACACGCAAGTTTCAATACTTCGTCCGCGTAGGACGATTCGGATTTGAAACAGAATTTAAAGCAGCCAAAAAATACGAAACGATATGCAATATCTTAAAACTATTTACTTAACTATAAACTATGTTTTTAAAATGCGTAAAGAAAAGTACTGATTCTTTTAAATAATGTTCAAATACTCAAACGCTACTTATTTTAGATCACGCTTGAGTATAGTTCTGTCACTGTCTGTCACTAGAAATTCTACGTAAAATGACAGAGACCACGATATTAAAAATGCAACTTAAAATTTAGTAGCCTTTCAGTGTTCGGGCGACAGTTACATATCTGTATCTGACAATCCCACCAATAAATATAAATGCAAAAATTATCAAAGACAACCACCACCTCCTTTTTAAGGCTTTCATCTTTCGATGCTATTTGAGCTGTAATGCAGATAATAGGGTAGTTTCCTAAATTTTATTTTAATGTCCGTCTGGTACATTCATTTAAAACTTTGGACACGTATTTTTTCTTTTCTCACAAAATTAAATATTTTCGACGATATATTAATTTGAAATATCGTGTGACGTCACAGCGTGTCACATTTTGTAGCACGTTATGACGTAACGACCTCCCACTTAGCGCCATTTTATCTAAGTATTACAACTTAATATGAGAAAATAAAAAATACGCGTCTAATATTTTTTCATTATCTAACTGACGAACTAATTAGATTTTTAATTTTGATACCCTGGAATTATGGAATGGACTACCCAATTCTCAGATTTATTAAGAGCAAGGTAAGGTTAATTTTAGAAGTTCAATGATAGTAAACATCTAATTCTTGACTTATTCTGCCAAAACAAAATAAATATCTGTTAAAATATAAAACACAAAAGTCAAAACAGTCTTAAGTAACTATCCCATGTGACAAAATATCTACTATGGCCTAAGTATAAAACAACAATTGAAAAAAAATGCGTCATCCAATAAACATGTCTTATAATTGTTACCATTAGTAAATTATGCTATTTAAAATCTAAGAGCTTAAGCTGTTAAATAGCAGAGAGAATTAGGAATTATTAAGTATGCTTACTTTCAAACAAAACTACACACTCGTTTTGAGGTACATTCGGTCTAGGGAGCTTTAATTGAAGTTCGACACGACTTTTCAATACCTTTAGTTCCTTTAGTTTTAATTCCTACGATATTTTATACCTTATATGGCACTAATATCCTCAAGGAAATGACATATTATACATCTGCGACTTTCCGTCTTGCACTGCTATGCAATAGGTAGAATATCTTTTGGCAAATTATCTATTTATAATATAAATAAATATTACCAGTACGTATGCCTAGGATACACTAGGGGAAAAACGTCCCGAGATATGTATCGTCGACATATGAGCGAAGCCTTTTTTTTATTATGGCGGAAATCTTCAACAAGCGCTTAGCTTTTTGGGGAGAAAGACTAGGGAGTGGGATTCGTACCTCACTAAAACCACGGTGACCACCCTCAGCAATTGAAAGAGGCACGGGGTCCTCTGAAGAGACCTGCTCCGAAGCCCATATGAGCGAAGTCTGCCGATTTCGCAGCGACGTTGATGTTGCCAGATATGTTGACCAAAGTCCGACATTGTCGCGGTACCTCACCCAACGTCGCTGGCGATACGTGTCGCAAGGCATTTGTCTCCTAGTGTGTGCTTGGCGTTAATCTACAAAAATACAATTTAAGGACTTGCTAATTTTGCTATGTTCAATAAGCACATTTTTACACATTATGGTTACCAAAATAACACATATTACACAATTTGAAGTTATAATCTGCTCTTTAATATAAGTACTCGTATGTATAATGAATTTACAAAGCTTTAAAATTTTGTAACACAGCTTGTCTCTGAAACACTGGATCTGATATCTTGAACATTAAATGTCTAAATTACTCTATTACCTGTCAATTGTACAGATAATACAACATTTTTGTGAGATATACTATGACATTAACACGTATTATACAGAGTGGTTTTAAAAACATTAATAGTGTTTTTATAGATATAATTGCTTTGGAATTATTGTTGAAATATTATTATATTATTAATTCAAAATGCACTTTGATCAATAACTAATAAAAAATATGAAACAATTACACCAGATTATTACACAGACTATTGTATATCCTGCTCTGTTCCTTCGTAGAATTTTTACTGAGTAACAACAAGATTCAACTGGCATGCGCAAGTTTGTCTATATTCAAGTACACTTTGTCCCTAAAAAGTTATCGATGTTTTTAAAAATCTCACACAAATATACATGTTGTCTATCACTGTCTGTTTCTAAAACTTTACCCAGTGATTCTCAACATTTTGGTATTTATGTTTTGGTCAATTTTGTCAAATAGCCTAACTATAAGGTCCAAAGGTTGAGAATCACTGTTCATAATTGTAATTATATAATCTATTTAGTTATTATATATATATTTTAGTATACAAATCTGAGCTTCTTACAGTGCTAGGCCTATTTGTAATAATATACTAGATATAAGACACTGCTTAAACACCAATGACATATAATATGCGTAAAAATATAATAATTATAACATAAGACTGTAATGTTTATAAAATTGTATTACATTGACGCTTCGCCTAACTTTTATCGAGTTGAAATTCTAAGAAATCGCGCAATGGATAGAGTATAAAGCGATATACACTTCATTTATGATAACATCATGTCAAATAAAAGAACATTTGCAATTACGACGTCTTATTTACAGCTTCAACAATCAATTTTGATTTTTATTACATTAATTATAAAACACAAAGTGCAACCAATAATGCATCTAAGTTGGTTTTGCAATTATGCAGATATTTTTGCTGTTGATGTGGTACCTATGGTCTTGGAATAGAATTCAAAATCAATTGAATAAGCTGTATTAGAACAGTATGTATCTTCTAATTTTAAACCCCGAGGCTCTCTGATAGTTGCCATGTTACAAATTTAATTCTATTTTAATATACATTCCAATGGACGTGTGCATTAATTTGTATATATTTTTTATTATTTTTACGTGTTTTTTACTTGGCAAGACAATTTTATTTTAATACTTAG